GCATCCAGACCGCGGCCACCAGAGATGAGGCTCACAGGCTGGGGATGGAGGAGGGTGGATGGGGTTCAGTTCTAGTAGATGGGTGGACATGACAGATGGACATTAGTGTGAGGATTGATAAGAGACAAACAAGTGTAACTGTGTACATGTTGAAAATCAATGATGTTATATTTGAAGTAATGTGCATGAAGGATTGAAGGGGTGATTGAATTGCTTTTAAGATATTTGGATGCTTAAAATTAACACAGCGGAATGAACTGCCAACTTATCCAGCATATGTTTTATGCAAGAGATGCCCTTCCAGCTGCAACCCATCAATGAAAAACATCCAAACACTCATTTATATACTACGGACAATTTAGCTCAGCCAATGCACCTATAACGTATGTCTTTGGACTTGTGGGGGAAAGCGGAGCATCTGAAGGAAATCCACAAGAACACGGGGAGAACATGCAAACTCCACACAGAAATGCCAACTTTCCCAGCCAAGATTCAAACTAGTGACCTTCTTACTGTGAGGCAATCGTGCAACCCACTGCACCACCGTGACACCTCATTTAATTTATTTATTTTCTTGGATTAATCTTAAATACCGTTCAAGATTATTGTCTTGGTTACTCCAAAATGTGAAAGACACTACATTGTGAAAACTATTATTATTATGGATAATAATAATTATTTATAATAAAAATTTGAATTTAATTAATTTCTACTATTAATTAAAACAAACAAAAATGTAAAATAACAGTAACAACAATGTTATTACAAATACGCATATCTGTTTAAATAGAACACAAAATATGTAAATAATAAAAGCAAATTAAGATATTTTATGAATAAACCAGGTTTATTGATTAACTATGACCAAAACAAATCAATTAAAATAAACAGTAACTGAAATAAAGTCTATAAAAATACAGCCTATTTTATTTCAGCAATTTATGTATTAAGTATTTAGGAAGTCGTTCTCATTTTAGTTTAATTATACATTTAGTTTAGCAAAGTATTTAAAGGTTAAATCTAAAATAAATATGAATAAAAACTACAAAGACATATGTTGAAAAAATATTACCAAAATATCAATATTTTCAACATATAATATTTTCGTAATTGTGACATAAATGGTTTCGATATGGTTTTACTTTTAGTCCATTATAAAAACTCTGGTTTATTTTTAAAATTTGTTTTATTAATATAATTTAAAGTTTACTGTATTGTTTAACTGAGCAAATCTAGTTTCATTTTAAAATAATGATTGATGAAGCTAAATATTTTTATGATTCTTATTTTTTATAAAAATATTAGATAGATAGATAGATAGATAGATAGATAGATAGATAGATAGATAGATAGATAGATAGATAGATAGATAGATAGATAGATAGATAGATAGATAGATAGATAGATAAAATAAATCAGTTATTAGAAATGAGTTATTAAAACTATTATGTGTAGAAATGTGCTGAAAACATCTTCTCTTCGTTAAACAGAAATTAGGGAAAAAATAAACAGGGAGGCCAATAATTCAGGCGGACTAATAATTCTGACTTTAACTTTATATTCTTTATGCAGTGAGATTAACACCTTTATTTGCTTAATTACCTTTACTTTATATCTAATGAAAGTGCTTATTTGTGGCTTTAAGTATTCAAGGAGTGGAATTGTGGAAAGTATCAGTATTGTCAACTGTTTCATTCAGGTTTCATTTTGTTCTAGGACAGTGGTTCCCAACCTGGGGTCCGCGCCCCCCTAAGGGGGGCGCCAGAGTTCACAGGGGGGGCGCGGGAGAGGATAAGTATTGAGGTAGAAAAAGGCATAAAAATGGTCCACTATTATATAGGGCTGTACAATTAATCGAAAATCCGATTTAGATTTCGGTTTCAAACGATTATAAAAAAGCATTAATCGAGATAAATGATTATTGCATCATATTTCGCCACAGTTGTACACGTGTTGCTCTTAAAAGCGCGAAAGAGCTTATGTGTGTGTGCAGCACGATCACGCAGTCAGAAGCATTCGGCCGGTCAGCATTCACTCTCATTCACACACTGAGACGAGCAGAGGAGCGCAGACATCTAAAGTCATCTTAACGTGAACGCTTTAATGGTCAAATAGGTGTCAAAACGCGGTGTTTAGTGATTATTTACATTAACCCTCATTTGTGTAATAAACAAACGAGTTGAGGATCAAAAGACGTGAAAGAGAAACCATTAAAGATACAGCGCGCTATAATCCTTCTGCCGCCTGTTTTTATTATTATTAAACAAACATAACGAGAAAACCTTTGCTGCTCTTGACTAAAGGAATGCTGTAGCTAAAGTGTTTTTCTTACAGTAAAGATGCTTAAAGCACAGTTTGTTTCATATTTTTATTCTATTGTATTTATTTCTCTTTCCATTGCAGGGTGGAAAATAACTGTATGTATACAGTTGAAGTCAGCCCTCTTGAAAATTAGCAAACCTTTTCCTGCCCAATTTCTGTTTCATGGAAAGAATATTTTATTAACTTATTTCTGAACATAATAGTTTTGATATCTCATTTCTAATTACTGATTTCTTTTTGTCTTTGCTATAATGACAGCACATAATATTTTACTAGATATTTTTCAAAATACAAGCATTCAGATTAAAGTGCAGTTCAAAGGCTTAATTAGAGTAATAAGGCAAGTCATTATAACGGTAGTTTATTCTGCAGACAATCAAAAATATATATTGCTTAAGGGGGCTAATAATATTGACCTTAAATTGGTTTCAAAATATTTAAACCTGTCTTTATTCTAGCTAAAATAAAACAAATAGAAGAAAAAATATTATAGGAAATACTGTTAAAATTCCTTGCTCTGTTAAACATAATTTGGGAAATATTTATTTTAAAAAAAAAATCTCAGGAGCGCTAATAATTTTGACTTTAACTGGCAATGGTTTTGAATAATCGTGATTACAATTATGACCAAAATAATCGTGATTATGATTTTTCCCAAAATCGAGCAGCCCAAAAAAAAAAAATTATCTAAACACATGCTTAAAATTCCAACATAATAGTGAAAATAATTAAAATAAATAACTTTAAATAATTATTTAAATTTTGCTCACTCGGGCAATCTGCTTGTCAACGTGTCGTACAGGCAAAATCAAAACAAAAATGGCAGACAAACGTAAATGCTGTGATTCTTCAGAGGCGAAGAAAAAGATTAGACAGTATGACAAAGCCTACCTAAATTTTGGTTTTATTGAAGGCCAAGAGAAGTTAAAACTGATTAATTAATATTTTCTATACATATTACTATATATTACACAAACACACACACACACACACACACACACACACACACACACATATATATATATATATATATATATATATATATATATATATATATATATATATATATATATATATATATATATATATGTATACACAGTACATATGTGCGTGCGTGCGTGCGTGCGTGCGTGCGTGCGTGTGTATTTATATGGTGGGGGGGGCTCCAGTGTTTGTATATGTTTATGGGGGGGGGGGCCCAAAGAAAAAGGTTGGGAACCACTGTTCTAGGACATTCAAAATGCCAATTCATATCACAAAATTATCAGACACATCAATGCTGTATTTTTTTAATTCGGAGAAAATCCAGAATTCAATTGATTTTAATTATCATAAAGTATGAAAGTTCTTTCTCATTTAACTTTTTTTAATGTTCTGCAGTTAATACTTGTATAAACGTGTAACATCTTATTGTAATAAAATGATGTAAATCTCTCTCTCTCTCTCTCTCTCTCTCTCTCTCTCTCTCTCTCTCTAACTAATCGTATTTTTTTAATCTGATCTCATCCTCTATCGTGTGTCTGATGTCTCCATCTGCTGGACGACACACCTTCTCACACGCCTCTTTGTGTTCTGGATAAACATTTTCGTGTATGGGTTGGTGGTGTGTCGGTTGGAAAAATACTATTTTGCTTAAGATTATCCAAATAATTAGTACTGATATAGCAACCATTAAGACAAATAGGACTACAGCGATACACTATATTTTAGATGTAAACACATTTGGCTTTTGATGCAAAATATAGGCTGAATTGTATCTGTATTGTAGGCTTTATATTTCATAGTATTATGTTGTGTATATACTGTAGGCCTATATATGTACTTTATGTATTATGGATATCACATAATATTACATGTGGTATAAATAGTTTGATTATTGTGTATTTTATTATTTTCGTGAATATTAGCTTGCTTATTTTTATAGTTAAATCGCGCTAACCTTGAAGATACGGAACTTTCCGTGCTTTATCATTTGGTTGCAGTCCAAAAAAACTAAAACAAATAAACAAGTATATAAATAAATTTTTAAAAATCTGTATTTTTCTAAATTGCTATTGTTCTGTCCTTGGTGATAAAAAGCTACTCTTCTAAACAAACAAACAATTTGTTATTTCTACGTCTGCTTTGGCTGATATCTTTGATTATAAATCAATGAATAAGTTGTTCTGTAGTTATTACTTAAGAACAAATATTATTTATCTAAAAACGATGAGGATGCAGACCTATCCTTGGTTTAGCATAAATAAATTGTTATGCGATATTAGTTTATTATTAGATTAATTCATTTATTTCTGTTATTCTAACCAATTTGAACCTACCCTAAATAAACAAACACTTGATTATTTTTTTCCAAATTTCATTTTTTTTTTACATTTTGCTGATATTTTTCAAAACATAAGCAATATAAGTAGCCTATAGTATGAGCGGGTATATTATATATTATAAATAAATTATTAAATTCTGTATGTTATTATTTTTCATGAAAAACATTTACTTCCCCTTGTTTGAACAATAAGTTAGTTTCATACACTAACCATGGGATGAATGATATCCGTGGTATTGCATTTGGTTAACTCGATAGTGGCTATTAAATAGATAATGCTGTGGTGAACTCTATACAGATTCGGGCTCATCTGAAGTCTCTGCTGTCCGAAGAACGACCGACATGCGAAGCAACTTTATTGTTCCCTCTCCCGCAGACAGTGGTCGCTGCACGGGCGGATTGGGATGGATTTATAGCACGGGAAATCGCTGCGTTATGAATTTCATAAAATCTATGATTCTCAGCTGTGGACTGTATTCCCTCGAGATCTTGCAAGATTTGTTTACTCATTCTCCTCTCTTAAATACGTAAAAAGGAAGAATTGTGCGTTTTCTGAAAGCCTCTTGTTGTTTGTAAAGCAGGCCGCGCAGGCCTCGGATTTTCCTAAAAACTTGTCCGGCATGCTGCGATTGGCCCTTGGGGGAGTCGCGGCATTTTACACCCGGTAAGACCCTATAGCACTGCGCGCGCTGCAACAAGTCCTTTTGTTTAGCTGCGACTCTTATAATAGCATCCTACGTATTTCATTTCTAGCTAAATTTCTAAAATCTCTGAAACGTATCTTGGTTGAGTTGTAAACACAAAGATTAAGCAGGTTCACGTTGCAAGACGTTAACGATTATGCTATGTTATTAGCAGCTAAGCTAGCTACCAGCTTTTATGTTTCAACAAACTCTTTTCTGCTCTCAGAAAATGCGTTGCCTAATATAAAAACACACATATGATTTTAAATGTACAAATTCAGTGGATGCAATTAAATATTTGTGCATCGCGCTTTCATTTTTAGCATCGTCCCGTTGTAAGTCAACTCCATCTATGCAGCTCTAAACTATGTGAATTAACTGGTATCGCTAACATCATAGTAGATTTGTTATTACCACGTTATTGATAAGTTACTTAGGTTATTTGTGAAAGGTCGCTTTCACAAATGTGTAGTTTTTACAACTGTAATGTATAAATCTTTAATGAAGTGTTATGAGTCTTAACCCAAATACTTTTGACACAAACTTTTGTAAATAAATAACAGGACCAGAACATAACTTACAAGTTTTTCATGTATTTTGTGTAATATTTTAAGCATTTAGGCCAGACAATGTGTAGTTATAACGTCTTGTGGGCTATTTTGGCTTCACTTTAAAGGTATGTTTGAGAATGAATAAGAAGCTTGCAAAGATTGAGACTGTTGGCTATAGTAAAGGCAGCAGGTGCATAGATGTAGAAGTTTAGCCAAACACAGACTAATTCTTTTGTATTATTTTGAACACATTTCCAAAGTTTAATATTTTAAATAATTTACACATTCTATTTGAATTGTAGTTTGGCTATAATACGTTGAATTGTTCATTTGACAAATTTTTCTTACTTTCTCAACAGGTGTCGAGCCATGGTATGCACCTATTGCCCGGTTTGACTGCAACGGCTGAAGCATATTGATCTACAGTTGTCTGAAAGCTGTTGACACTGCCAACAAAATTTACTGTGAATCTGGTCTTTTCAACACCTCAACGGAATTGCTGACCTTTGTAAAGAAAATTGACACTCCACAGAGACAAATAAATAAACTGTGGTGCTTGGAAAAGAAGCAATACCATATTAAAAGACTTTTTTACATTAAGATAGTAGGCCGGAGGCTTTAGAATGGCATCTGTTCCGGTTTACTGCCTGTGTCGTCTCCCTTATGATGTCACCCGATTCATGATTGAGTGTGATGTTTGTCAGGACTGGTTTCATGGCAGGTGAGGTTGCAAAATTTTTAAATGACTGTTAAAAGCTAAATCTTGTACTTCTTATGAATGTGTTTTTTGTGAATGTAATAATATATGTTTTTTCTTTTTGTGTAGTTGTGTTGGTGTGGAGGAGGACAAAGCAGCAGAAATTGATCTGTATCATTGTCCTAACTGTCAGGTGACACATGGACCATCTGTCAGTAAGTGTCACAAATGGTGTAATAAATGTCAATTCTGACTATTTCTTAGTAAGTCTTTTTGTGGATTAAAAATAAATGTTTTCAGAGTATCTGTACCTATATTCATCTATTTTAAATCTCTGTTCATAGTCAATACAACCTTTATATAATCATGTTCATAGTACATCCATCTGTAAATATCACCCATAGTTTTTCTTTAATTGCACTTTATAACTTATACCTGTATCCTGCACTTGCTGCTGTTGCACTCCTGTTTAGACCTAAACTGCATTTCCTGGCCTCGTACTTGTGCATATTTAATGACAATAAAGTTGAATCTAATGTAATAGTGCTGGGTTAATTTGGTCTTTATGTTTATGAAATTGTATGGAAACTAATTTGCACCAAGTCAGAAACAGACTATTTTTGTTGTGTATTTTATGTATGATTATTCATAACTTCGATTTACAGCTTAGAATGGACTAATAAACATCTAAACTTGGAAAAATTTGACTAGTAACTATGATATCTATTTTTCTGTCAGTGCGTAAACGGCGAGGAGCTGTAAAACACGCTGATGTTGGATTGGGGAGAGACTCAGGGCGACCTGTGAAGACGGGCAGTGCTCAGTTTGTCAGAGAGCTACGCTGTCGCACTTTTCCCAGGTACATTTACACTATTGCTAGCTCAAAATGACCTCTAGGTAATTCTAGGTTGTCAATACCTCTAGTACTCTACATTTTAAAGGAACATTTCACTTTTTTTTACAAGTTACCTTAAGTTAAACAGTTAATTTTTTCCATTTTTGAATCCATTCAGCCGATATCCGGGACTGGTGGGAGAACTTTTAGCTTGCCATAAATCATTGAATCGATTAGCATCTTGCTTGTTATAGTCATTTTCCTATTTAAATCTTAACTCTTCTGTAGTTATATTGTGTACTCAGGGCCGGATAAATGTAAGGGCTAGGTGGGGCTTGATTAGCTAAAGGATTAATTTGCGGTATGACGAGGGAAACGCCTCTGCGTTGTGCTTACTCTACGAAAATAATGTGAAGTAATTCTTCCGGTTCGCTGCTGTTCAAAAACAGTGACGTCAGTGCTAAACTGGGGCTCAGTGGCTGTAGCCCAATCAGAATATTGAATATCCCTGTTTTAGTCACCCAAAGAGTGATCACATATCTCATTTTTACCAGGAAAGTCTTATTTTGGCACTACTGCAAGAACCGTCCAGTCAAAGTTAGGCTAACTTGTACATGTAACAACAGAAGCTGGGATAGGCGGAACTGAAGCAATGTCTCGACCGTGCAGCGATTACAGCTGGACTCAAAGCGGCGCACACCCGCACAATCCTTCCATCACACAATATAACCGAAACAGTGTGCGATCAAATCAAATTGCCTGTAAAGCATTTTCAAAATATCCATGGTTGTGGAGTATCTATCTCAAGTAAATACACTCTATGCTTTACAGCAGGGGTGTCAAACTCAATTCCTGGAGGGCCGAAGCCCTGCACAGTTTAGTTCCAACCCTGCTCAAACACACTTACCTGTAGGTTTCAAACAAGCCTGAAGGACTCAATTAGTTTGATCAGGTGTGTTTAATTAGGGTTGGAACTAAACTGTGCAGAGCTGCGGCCCTTTTGGAACTGAGTTTGACACCTGTGCTTTACAGTAAGTCTAACTGAACCAGTTAGAAAGCAAACTTTTTTTTTAATGGATGCTTACTTTGCCCCTTTTATGAAAATGATAGTAATAATATGGAGCAATGAAATATTGACCCTGGCTTTCATTAGACAATATATCTGATGCAAAAAAACAATAGATAAATAAACAAAATAAGGATAACCTTCTGTAACTCAGAAGACCACAAAAAGCTATTTTGGATATTAGAAGCATGGATATTAAAGATATTATATCATTAGGGATTTATGGTCACCTAAAGTTCTAAAGAACGTTTTTAAAGGTAAACCCCAATTTAAAGTATTAATTATAAAGCACTAATTGAGGTAGTATTGCAAAAGTTTTTTGTTTTGTTTTGTTGATGTTTGCAGCCTGTTTGAACTTTAAAGTTCATATTATGTCATTGCTTAATTTTGTATTCTTGCAGGCCTATTTTAATAAAATAGAAAAAAATCCATAATAATCAAATATAAAAAAATCTAATGGTGGAAAATTAGATAATATGAATTAGTAAATTATTACTAACCATAATAATAATACCAAAAACAACAATTAATAATAATATATACTTTTGTGAGGTAAAAAAAATAAAGGGGAGGGCCTTGGATTTGCTATAGCCCCAGGGCCCAATGTATTCCTAATCCGGCCCTGTGTGTACTAAGACTAACGGAAAATGAAAAGTTGTTTTTCCACCAATGATATTTTGCAGCACTGTTACCTAGCTGGGGACTATTTTCAGCTGCTGCATAATATCATTGCACCTGCTGCAACCATGGAACGGCAGCAAAGTTTCTTGATTATCATGCCAGAGTGAGAGCATAGCCACATCGACCTAGAAAATAGCAACCTTTATTTTTTTGTCACTCTTGGTGCACAATGTAATTACAGAAGAGTTGAGATTTAAATTAAATTATCAAAATGTTTTTTTTTTTTTTTTTACATTTTTGGTTGAGATGCTTATGGTCTAATCTGATTCAATGATTTATGCTAAGCTAAAGCCTTGTTTTTACTTCTGCGTCGAATGATCAGCGTGACCCACTGTGCCTGCCTTGCGTATAGTCCTGCATTTATAATTCTGCATGCTGTTTGTGTTGCTCTGCAATAACACTTGTGAAACACTAGCTGGCAGTAGGGTTTTTTGTTCATCTGTGTCGAGTTTCTTCGCAGGTGTTTTGTTTTTTCTGAACGCTACCTTGCTATACAAGTAGCTCAAACTCACGACTGATTGGATTTTAAAATGCTAAAATTGAACTCTTTAGCTTTATGTTACTATTCCTTGAAAATTAGTTAAATTTAATCTTGATCTGACTTTAAACAAATTCTTCACTTCTAATTGTGGGCTTATGCTTATCTGATGTTACAATAATACAACTACGACGAGAATGCTAAAAAAAGTTTTTACATTTATTTATATTCCAGTGCTGATGAAGTCCTGCTGAAGCCGACCGGTGCTCAGCTTACGGTTGAGTTTCTAGAGGAGCGCTCGTTCAGTGTCCCAGTCCTGGTCCTCAGGAAAGATGGCCTGGGCATGAATCTGCCCCCGTCGTCCTTCTCTGTAACAGATGTGGAGCACTATATTGGTAACTTCAATCACATCCGCAGTGCTACTTTTTTTAGTTGTGTATCTGAGAAGTGATTTTTTGAAAGAAATGTAATTTTTTTTAAAAGGTACTGAAAAGGAAATTGATGTGATTGATGTCAGTCGCCAAGCAGACCTCAAGATGAAACTGGGAGAGTTTGTTGAGTACTACAACAGCCCAAACAGAGATCGAGTGCTCAATGTGATCAGCTTAGAGTTCTCAGACACCAGGTACATTCTATACGCATTTTCATGAATCAATGTGTGCAGCAGTAGCGTATAGATGCAGTGGTGCTTTCATGTCAGCAAGAAATAGAAGCCTGTTTCCTAAATGCATGTCATGTATTTAGCTGTGAACAAATGATCTTTGTTTAGTTAAAAAATGGAGTCTGTTGTGTTTCTAACATTTTCAGGACACAACAAATTACTTATTTATATTTATATTAAAGATACAAATAAAAAAAGAGTTAATTAACCTCAATATTTGTAACAATTTATTAATATTTCATTCATTCATTTTCTTTTCTGCTTAGTCCCTTTATTAATCTGGGGTTGCCACATGCAGCGGAATAAACTGCCAACTTATCCAGCACATGTTTTACGCAGCGTATGCTCTTCCAGCTGCAACCCATCACTGGGAAACATCCATACACACTCATTCACACTCATACACTACAGCCAATTTTGCTTACCCAATTCACCTCTACCACATGTCTTTGGACTGTGGGGGAAACTGGAGCACCCGGAGGAAACCCACGCAAACTCTGGGAGAACATGCAAACTGCACACAGAAATGCCAACTGACCCAGCCGAGGCTCGAACCAGTTAGCTTCTTGCTGTGAAGCGATTCTTTAATATTTAAAGAAGACAAATGGCGCATGTCATACATGTACATATTTTCAACATATATATTTCATAATTTGTATTTTACATGTTCATTTTCAATCATTGGAACTATAAAAATGCACATGAACACACAAATATGCATGTAAACTATAATTTTATATACACTATATACTCATATTTGACAATATATTAGGATTACTGTATGAGCTTCAATACACACAATTGATCATCAGTGCACCAAACCAGACAATTATTTCTTAGACAATTAATTGTTAGCCAAATCTTGTAACTTGTGACAGCTCTTTTTTTATGAAAGCATCATAACTAAAGTAAAATAATAACCTTCTCTCTAGTGATGTGTACCAGACCAGAAAATACCCCAAATATTTTGCATGTATAAATCCTAATTAAACCTTATTTTACCTGAAATTTCTTCTTCCCTCCGACCAACAACCTTTTCCAATTTATTTATTTTTATTATTAAGATTTTAAACTTTTCATAGAGGATTCAACTATGCAAACTTTGCGTGTTTTCTTAGGTTGTCTAATCTGGTGGAGACACCAAAGATCGTGAGGAAGCTGTCATGGGTGGAGAACCTCTGGCCTGAGGAGTCTATCTTTGAGAGGCCTAATGTGCAGAAATACTGCCTAATGGGAGTGAAGGACAGTTACACAGACTTCCACATTGACTTTGGAGGAACCTCCGTGTGGTACCACGTACTCCGGGTTAGTTGTTCTCTAATTAGCAGTAGATTATTAGTGAAGAAAGCAGTAAATGTGAGAGAAAAAAATGCATTTGATCACTCCTGAAAGCTTTGCTGTTTGTCTTTCTGACTAAAGTGTTCTTATGTATGTCTTTTCTTTGTCAGGGTGAAAAGATCTTTTACCTCATTCGCCCCACTGCTGCTAATTTGTCTCTTTTTGAGCGCTGGAGTTCATCCTCCAATCAGAATGAGCTGTTTTTTGGGGATCAGGTCGACATGTGCTACAAATGTTCAGTTAAGCAAGGAAACACCCTCTTCATCCCGACAGGTACTACCTGTTGTGTCTGTATATTGCAGATATACGTTTATTTGATTACTCTAAGTGTGTAAGACATGAAATTATTAATCTATACTCTTTATTAGGTTGGATTCATGCTGTCCTGACCCCTGTGGACTGTTTGGCATTTGGGGGAAATTTTCTACACAGCCTCAACATTGACATGCAGCTTCGGTGAGTTAATGCTTTTCTGTTCATCTCCTTGCAGGGCTCGAAATTGCGACCATTTTGGTCACATATGCGTCCGAAATTTTGTCTATGCAACCTCAAAATATATTTGGGAGCATTTGTGCAAGTGCTTAAAATTGTTGCCATGCGACCTGTTTTCACTTTAAAATATTCACCGGATGCGCATATTTAGGAAACATTCACACAGAATGCATCTTTGCACCAAAAAACACCAAACTGTTGTCATGTCAACTTTTTGCAGTAAACAAATCCCGCAATGCTTTCCCCGCATTCAGGCTCTTCTTATTGGCAGACTACTCTAGAACTGAATGTGAATGGATTGGGTAATATCAGCTGTCGATTACTCAGTTCAGATGACAGAGAGCTACAGCTCAGAAAATATAAAGGTCTAGATACGAGCAAATGAAAATGACACTGACTGATTAGGTTACAAATAATGCCACATCTTATTAGTGGTCATGTGGTGAATGTTAATCCAGCATTTACACTTTTCGAAGACTGGATAAAAGACTTCCAGTGGGTTAAAGTCCGCCTTGACAAAAGCATTTACCGTAAAGCCAGTGGGATGGAGTTTTCAGGTAACAGTGTTTGACATATCTACACACTTTAAGCACTAGATTTTCTAATTTAATCGTCACAGTGCTGTCAGTCGTCCAACTGGCACTGCGTTGACCATTGCAAAAGAGCATGCATTCACTCAGATTAATCATTGCAGCTCTTGAAAAGACGGTTCCTGCTATTAAGATGTCAATTTTTGGTAGGTGCGCCTAATTTTTGACTGGTGCCTACATTTTTGGTGTCCTGCAGATTTTAGCTCCAACTTGCCTCAACACACCTGCAAGTATGTTTCTAGAAAGCTTAGTAAAAGCTTGATTAGCTAGCCCAGGTGTGTCTGATTGGGGTTGGAGCTAAACTTTGCAGGACACCGGCCCTCCAGGAGCGAGTTTGGACATGCCTGTTTTAACCAGTATTGATCTAAGCTTTTTTAATGGTTCATATTCCCATTCTTTTCAATAGAGCCTATGAAATAGAAAAGCGACTGAGCACGGCAGACTTATTCAAGTTTCCAAATTTTGAGACCGTGTGCTGGTATGTTGGCAAGCATCTCCTGGATACTTTCAGAGGTGAGGCTTCTTCTTATTAAGCAAATGACTCAAAGCAAATGTCTTTAGTGCCTGTTCTTGTATTTACTACAACATTCTTTCACGTACTTTCAAGTTTATGTTTTTCCAATCCACTTTAGGTCTAAGAGAGAATCGGCGGCATCCCGCCACTTACTTGGTCCACGGAGCCAAAGCTCTGAATAATGCTTTCCGCGGCTGGACACGGAAGGAAGTACGTTTAATTACATTAAATGTAGGACTGAGCAGTTATTATGCAAGTTACAAATGGTAACAATGGGAAATTTGGCTCATATTTTTTAATATGTATTATATTTTTTGTAGTTTTCAATTTTAAAACACAGAAAATACAATCACATGGGTGACTAGTAACAACATAAACACACAAAAAAGAAAAACTGAAAAATACTTAAATAATACTTTTAAAGAGTTTCATTAGAATTATGTGTGATGATAACACAAAGCTTACATTGTCTCTTTTTGTAATCTTCAGTCCCTGGGTGAGCATGAACAGGAGATACCTGACACAATAAAGACGCAGCAATTAGTGAAGGATCTGGCTAAGGAGATACGCCTGGTTGAGGTGAGAATATCTCAGGCTCAGATTTGTAAGAAAATGGGTTGTGCTGTTTATCGTGCATCTAATTAGTGTGTTACTTTCTGCAGGATATCTTTCAGCAGAACATCGGCAGGAGCGGGACACCCTTCGGCGGCTCTCAGGGTCTTCCTTCTCCACACCCCAAGGCTCAGTTAAACACACCTCTCACTTTTAGCCAGCACCTAAGTAAAAAGAGAGGCCCAAAGCCAAAGGAGGCATTTGGAGGAGGTGGAGTAGGCCCTCCGGGAGCAAAGAAAAAGAGCCAGAAAGGCAAAGAGATAAAGACGGAAGCCGGAGAGCTGGATCTGCTGGAGATTCATACTAAACACACACTTAAGAAGTTCCAACCTGGTTGTAAAGTCAAAAAGAGCAAGGTACAATATATAAAACTTATATGTTGTTAATATTATGTTTATTACACTCAGGGTGTACTCGCACTAGGTACAGTTGCCTTAAACCATGCCAAAGCACGATTGTTCCCTCTCCTCAGATGGCCTGCACTCACACTGTATTTTGCCTTCAAGCCTGAGCACGCTTATGTCACTGATGATGCGACTGTTCAGTTTAACAGGAAGAGAAGTGCTTTCGCTCAGCACAGTGGAAAATGCTTTAGTTATATTGTTTTAGTGGTTTGGGATGCAGTGACATGCAGTCAAATGTTTAGCAAAACAGCCACAACTTTTAACGCTCACAAATGATCCTAAAAGTCATTGTGCTGCACGTATTAGGTTTACTGAAGGTGCAGCTGACGTACAGTGAGGGGTTTGCATCTTTAATAAACGATGACAGTTTGCATTTATTGAACAGTAAGAATAATTAATAAACCCATATGAAACAGTCCCTTCAAAGTGATGTTTCAGTTTCAGGCTCAGGCTCGCTTTGCACTCACACTAAAAGCGTACTATGTCAATAGTACTATGCCTATAGTACTAGGCCAGCCGAACCGCACTTTGGCACACCTCTTCCAACCAGGCCAAACCCGCCAACTGAACTGTGCCTGGGCCCATTTCTGAGCTCTCACACTTGTCAAACGAACTGGGACACGTGCCCAAGCGTGGTTTGGATAGGATAGTGTGAGTGCAACCTCAAACATTTTAAGGTTTGGGGTCAGTAAATTGTCAAGAAATGGTTCTTTAGCAACAAATCAGCATATTGAAATGGTTTGTAAAAGAATTATAATGCTGAGGACATAATGCGTTAATTATATTGAAAGTCTTGTCAACCCAAAACTTTTGAACAGTAGAGTACTTAATATTATGTTTATTTTTGTATATTTTCTGTCTGAGTTATACTTTTTGGATTCCGGTAAAGACAAAATTCTGATTTAAGATTTTTTTAAAAGATGAAACTATTTGTTTTGCATTTTGTCCTTATATCATCATTGTAAATAACATTATTTGTTTATTGTTTTAGCTTGAGCTGCCTGATGACTGTCTAGATGATTTTGAAGAGAAGATCAACAAGAGCAAGCTCAAGCTTGTGCTAACTAATGGAAAGCTTCAAGGGTAAGTATTGCCATCTTCACTCATTTCTATGATAAGATGATTCTTGTCAAGACACCTAATTTTGAAACCTCCTCTTCTTCGCCTCTTAGGAAGAAAGGACGTGCTGGCAGTGCGAATGGAGCTGGGAGTTCACTTCAGCAGTTCCAGCCCCACATGGCTACTTTGTCTGATTTTGATTCAGAAGACGAGCTTCAGATTGATGAAACCCCTCCACCACGCCGTAGGCCATCTTTACCAAGCAAGAAGAAATTAGCTGGTAAAATGTTGTTTTTTATTTTTATTATTAATAAATTTGAATTTAATCATGTCATCTTATTGGCAGAGTGTAATTCTTCTCTCAATCTTCTTATTAAGGTCTGCCAAGGAAACTACCACGGGCCAAACCATGCAGTGACCCCCACAGAATCCGTGAGCCAGGAGAAGTGGATTTTGATATTGAGGTGTGCAAATCATATTTAAAGCCCATTCACACCAAAAATTATAATTACATTCTTCAAAATCTCTTCTTTTTTAACTCAAGCTGAGCTCTTTGGGCAGCCTTTATATTCATCTTTAAGAGATGAATTGTGACATATTTTACTTTTGAATAGGAGGATTACACCACTGATGAAGAGATGCTCACAATGCAGGGTGTAAAAGGCGGAGCAGGTGGGATTTTAGACTTGCTTAAGGCAAGCAAACAGGTGGCGGGCCTAGATTCTGCACTGAGGTACGTCTCACACACACTTCATATGCTGCAATTTAGTTTTTGAATGTGTAAGTGTTTCTATTCTAACTTCTGACGATTCTCTTCATGTTCTGAAGTGAGGAAGCACCGGCCTCCCCCAGCACCCGTGATGCTATCCAGGGCATGCTTTCGATGGCAAATCCTCCATCCTCATCATCCTCTTCGTCCTCTTCCTCTCCTCTGTCAATCTCTGGAGGAGGTGAGATGATGGGGCTTATGAAGGAAAAAGGAGGGAGAGAGGGGTGGATGAGTGGAGTCAAGAAGAGCGAGAGGAAGGCCGTCTTTCAGAGGCCAGGGAAACGGCCCATCAAGCGTCCAGCACGCCACCTCAGTGATGATGAAAGCTTAGATGAACAGGAGACACTGGGTACCTGTTTTAAAGACTCTGATTATGGTGAGGTTTTTTACATTTATTTTTCATTACAACAGGGTTGCTAACATGCTTAATGCTGTTCACAACAGAAGCGAAAGAAGCGTCAAGCGCGAGTGATATACATGTTAAGTCAATGGCGCGAATGGAGCGTTTTGCGCGTTTGATGCGCAAATCGCTCAAGTTCGAAGATCTAAACTTCAGTTGTCATTCGCGCCGCGTTAACCAATCAGGAGCTTGCTCTTGTGGAGGGCGTGATTATGACGTAGTGCCTGTTGTTGGTGTCCCGGGGAAAAATCCTCCTGCACACACAGACAACACTTCATCAAACTGGGCTCGGCTCAGTCTGAAGCACCGCTGAATACTTCCATCATCCAGGTTAAGTCTCTGGAGGAGTTTATGAGTTCACAGAGCTGGGTGCACCTCTGAATGGATCTAGTGGACTCAGCTCGGCTCGGCTCCAAATGGCTCAATGCTGTTTTTAGCCTTTCTAAAGCATATAAACACAGTTATTCTCTCTATAAAATCCATGTTAGCCATTTAGCAATGAAGCTACAGTCACCGGGCTGACAGAAGCCCTGCCCATCACGCGAATCCGCGTCTGTTCTGAACCGGATTTGACGTGCGAACGAAGCGAGTAAACTCAAATGTTCACACGTTTATTTACGCACGAATAGCAAGATTTATCCACTCATTCCGCGCCTGGACACAGTATAAGAATGAAAATACTCTGGGTGATTTCACCACGTTTGCACCCTCTTTTTCAGTGTATCCATCACTAGAGTCTGATGAGGAGGATCACGTAAGCAAGTCCAAAATGAAAAGGAAGCGAAACTGGGATGATACCCCTTGGAGTCCCAAAGGTAAATAACATGTATGAAATACATTTTTGCAGACTTTATTTTTTTTTCTAAACGGTTCTAATCATTGTTTGTTTAAATGCCTTTAGCCCGTGTAACCCCTACATTGCCGAAGCAGGAGCGACCGGTGAGAGAGGGTGCCAGGGTTGCATCTGTAGAAACCGGGCTGGCAGCTGCGGCAGCCAAACTGGCACAACAGGTGAGCTTCTGTTTCATTGTGCCAGAATTTCTATCTACATGAACCATTACATACAATTTTGCCTCATTTCCACTAGGCTTGTGTTTCCACTGCCAATTAAGTTAAGCAATTAAGCACAGCCATACACACAAAGTACCCTTAATCAGTAGGCATGGTATATGCCAGAAAGTTGCAATTAATTCATTTTCAATCATAAAAGAACCCAATACAGGCAGTTCACATATCGTGTCTTTTGTGAACTCAAGTTTATTTTTTCGAATGTAGATGCGTGTAGATAGAGAGAGGAATCTGCACACTTTGCACACATTTTGATGCAACATGTGAACCCCTAAAAATCAATAGAGGACATACAGCAGATTCTGTTCTTGAAATGTGGCTTTTTGTCACAAGACAACAAGCTATGTTTGAGTATGGTCAAAGTCTCTTTAAGACAGGTCATTTCACTCGGCGGCCATCTTTAAAATGCCTCTCTGGCAGTTTGTTCGGCCATTCTGTTTGAATGGGGAAACATCAAATTCTCCAAAACTGGTTGCCAAACTTATGATTGAATTTTATTTTAGGAATCTCCAATACTATCTCTTTAGTTACACTTCTAAACGTCAGAATCACTCTAAATCTGCAGAAACTCTTGTATGGTCTGAGTGTCCCTTCCTCAGAGTATCGTCAGTCTATAGCGGACGATGATTTGCTCCTGTACTCGAAGGTGGGCTTTAGTCGCCATATTGACCGTTACACTTTTCCCCATTCAAAACTATACGAGTGACATGTCTTGTGTATTCTATAGTCTTTGGTATGGTTCATTGTTGTGTGCCGTCATTCTATTGTTAAGCGTCGTGTTTCAGCTGTGTATTTAATAATGGCACAACATTAAAAATGTTATCCTTCTCTTAGTCTTGTTGCAAACACTGGTGTCAATTCTCTATAGCAGAGACAGGTTGTAAATTGAAATTTTGTTTAGTAAAATATTCTATTGAGAGCTAAAGTGGCATTGTGACGATTCGGTTTACTTTTGTCTCTGTTTTCTTTGACTTTGATCGAGCACCTGCCTTTTAGATTTTCATAGATGTGCGCCCACTAATGTCTTTCTTTCTATTCTGTTCTCTATAAACTGATGGAATTCATCAATGATTACACCGTAATACTATATACATATAATAATGAGCCATGGTCGAACCGAGCTTAAACAAACCTTGTTGTTGTCTTGATGAACAGCCACAAAGCCACGAAGAACAAAATCTGCATGTCTTGTTGATTTACGAGGCTGTTTAAAAGCCCGAGCGGTTAAATTTTCTCCAGAGAGCTTGCATGTGCATCTATATTTGAAATAACCAACTTCTTGATCTGATGATAATAACGTGCGTGTGATTACTGAAGTGCTTCTGACGTCCGATCCTTTCAGGAATGGATAAACGCGCAAGTGAATCGTGGAAAACAAATGAGCAAATGATTCTTTCAGCAAACTAAAACATAAACAATCTGCCATGTTCAACTTTTATCATCACCTTTTGAATTATTATGAACTCAGAGTGACAGAATTACATTCTAACAGAGGTTACATGTGCTGATGAAGTTAAAATACAGATGAGAGGTTTGCACTGACTGTTTGCTATATGTTGAGTGTTGTTTTTGTACCCAAATAAGGCCTAAATGTCTGCTGTGTGTAGTTTTACTGTAATTGTTAACATATCGGTGATTGTAAGGGTCTGTATGTGTACAAATTTGTTGCATTTATGTATTTAATATAGATAATCGCAGACTGTAGGCTATTTTGCAGGGTGATCTGCAGTTATAATCAAGTCATGTTCATAGTAAGGTTAGTAATAATCATTTATACAGAAGTATTTATGTGTATAAAGCATCTGTTTTTTGAGAAGAGCCTTTCATGATAAGTGAACGACCCGTACAGCTTTACTTTGACATTTCCTGGAGCAAGAATGACGTAGACTGAAACTTTGTCATACACCACGCCCACCAAAAGGGTACCATTGGTATCTTTTTAGCAGTGGAAATGCAAGCCTGATTATGGTGACCAGTACTATACCACTCAGTGGAAATGGGCCACTAGAGAAGGGTGCCAAAAAAGTGGCTCTATTTTTTTACCTTTAACAGTGGAAATGGGAACAATGGCATATATTAATTTACTCTACCGAACTGTACCACTGAGTGGAAATGGGACAATACTTAAAATTGATGTGCTCATTTTAGTTTTTCAAAATATTCATAAAATTCAGTTGGTATTTGTACCACCACTTTACACCAGTCTTCATTGTGACATGATATTTCTACTTAGAATTTGATACTCCAAAAAAGTTTTGACAACAGTTTTTAAATGCTTCTTTTAAAGATTCTTTTATAAATAAAACTTCATAAGAGCATTAGAAACTGTAATCTTTTGTTGCTCTAAAACCAGGAACAGCAGAAAACCATAACCAAGAGGAAATACACCAAGAAGAAGACCCCTCAAGAGAAGGTACACTCTACAGTTGCCCAGCTCCAGCATCAGCCGGACTCTGCACCCGTGTCTCCTCCTCTGCCCTCTGAGCCTCCAGTGGACTGTATAGTTGAGGAGAGGAGAGTGGAGGTTTACTCTGCCAGCCTGCTGGACCACGAGTACACTGCAGGACCCGGTCCGTTCAGCCCAGGAGGTCCAAGAGGAAGTGGTGCCATGGCCCCTGGCGTGTTCTTGACTTCCAGACGCCCCTCACTGTCTCCCCAAAACAGCAGCAGCTACTCTCCCTCTGCCCCCTCACCTGGCGGACTGGTGACTCCAACATCAGCTGGAGCATGTCAAGGTAATTAGAATTAACATACTCGTAATTCTGAAACAAACTGATATCATACATGCTCTAAAATGTTCTCTCTCCTTTTCTTTCCTACAGGGAAACGTCCAAAGAAAGGACTTGCAACAGCTAAACAGAGACTGGGAAAGATTCTGAAAATACACCGGAACGGCAAGCTGCTGCTGTAGATTTCAAACCAGGAGAGGAGACTGCAGGGAACAATACAGATTTAGAAAACGGAGATGGATGAGACAGGACCTGAGTGATTTTGGCGTTAAATTATGTGACTGTTTTATGGTTAATACTCAGCTTGCCTGGTTTTATTTGCCTCATCGGGATAAAAAGTGAAAAGAACAAAAACTTGCTGTGAGAAAATTCAAGTAAAATCTGTCTAGCATGGTGTTTTAGCATAGAAATTTCAGTCTCAAACTCAAAATAGAGCTAAACAGAAGGATACCTTAAACCATTAATGGATACTGGTGAGTGATGACTGTGTTGCAATATTGATGAATATGATCTGCATCCATGTACGCTCCCCTTAAACCTTTTTTGTTTCATAAATATTAGTTGATTTTTAGTTTTAACCATATAGATATTTAGAAAACAAAATTTAATGCCCTTGACGTTAGGTCAAGTTGCTTGAAGTTATCAACAAAAAGATCACTGAAAAGATTCTTAATTGGTTGATATAAAAATTTGACTTCCCAAAAATAGGATTGGGATGACCTGACCTGTCCAATGGTTGCGTATTTAATTCTTAATTCCTCAGCAGTTTGTAAATGTCACAGTTTCTCATAGCTATTTGACCCAATCTCCTCCCAAAGCCATGCATCATTTTTGTTTACATGCTTCATTAATGTGTTCATATCGAATTCTTTTATAGAAGACCGTTTGATGCACCATTGACCGTAATTGCTGTAGATGAAGTCCTGTAGTAACGTCCTTTTGCTTGTTAAAAATGTTTTAAACCATAGTGAACTAACACATTTTTATTAACAGTTGTATTTTAGATGTGTATATATTTTACGTTTGTCTTGTTTTGTTTTCGTTGGTTTGTTTTCCACTCAGCATGGGCAGTGTAATGTCCTGTCAGCGTTCGGCCAGAGTTGTCTTGTTGGCCTTCCCATCGATACCACACTTACAAAGTTGAAAAGTAAAGGTTGAGTTCAGTGGTGGGCACATTTTTAGTAACTGTAAAGAACATGGAAATTGATTTTAGAGCAGTTTGAGATCAGATCAGTGATTCTGTAGGTTCAGTGTACATATTTGGTGTTTTATTTGTATTTTGTTTTTGAAAGAAAGAAATTGCATTTGAGTCTTTCTTGACACAACTTGTACAAAAATACATGTTTTGGTTAAGTATAACAGCATAAGAGTTGTTTAGCCTGTTTTATTTGTAATATAGAATAATTATGCTGTTCTTTTTCATTGATGCTTATGATATTAGCAATGTGATGAAGTTAATGTATTCTATTGCTATGTCAATGTTAATGTTCGTTTTATCCCCCCCTCTCACACTTATCAATAATATTAATTGTGATGTCGATATACTTTAGTTTTGCTTTTATATATATGATACTCCATTAGAAGAGTTAAATATAACATTTTTTTTGTAATTTTATGTAACATTATTTTTTTAGTCTCCTCTTTTGACCATTATGTCTATTACTGGCACCAAAAACATAGAAAAATTAGTGGGTCAGTGTAAATATTATTTTACCCCCTGGAAAATGTCACCGATTTTCACACTTGCCATCATGCCATCCAAATGTGATTGGAAACTTGTATTTAGGTTTGTAGGAAGTTTTGAACATGAACAGATAACAGTTGTTACAATGTCCTGAAATAGTAAAATTACTATTTTAAAAATAGATAGTTTTCAGATTTTAAAGGATATTTGTGGAGTATTTTGAGTTTTTTGTTCATTTGATTTGCCATTGTCTTCACATCATGTCCAAATGTTACTATGTAAACTCATATTTTACAAAACATCTGTGCCTTCAGTAAAACCCCAAACATAGCAACCTGTTTAACTGAAAATGTGCATCTTTGCACATATTTTGATACTAGCTTTAGTTTAATGGCAACTATTGTCTTATCAAGACGCCTGTTCAGGATCTCTGGAAATTGATAGCAAAAAAAAAAAAAAAAACTGAAATGATGTGAAGCAAGATGAGCAACAAAGAAAGTGTTCAAAAACCTCAAAATATATATGAGGAATGACTTTCAAAGATGTTCTCATTAAGTTTAGCATTTACTTAAGTTATTCTCTTCATCACGAGAAAGTAATTGTGTGCATTTTAGGAATTATTTATCTTTTAACCATTTTCTTGTCTGCTGAAGTTTATTTTGAACAATTAATGCTAATCACAGTTCCTCTCAGGGTTTATTTTGTATCTAATATCATTTTGATAGAACAGTTTAAAAGATCAACAGTAGTTTTAGGAGTTCACATTCAGGACCACTTAAAAAACAAAACCAAGTCAAATCTGAACCCATTCAATATTTAGAATTGGACGTTGTCTTTTGCTATTGTCACCATCTTTGGTTTTTAAAACGGCTTGAGCAGATTTTTCCAAATGACCTCTATTAAAAGATATTTTTAAAAAAACATTTGCCTTTCTGTCATTATAAGCTTACTTTCACCTGCAAGTGTCATGTAGTCTCTCACGAGATTCACCATCTTCTTTGTCTCCTTTCAACTGTCATTTATTAATTTATTTTCCTACAGGTTGGTTCCATTATTCATCAGGGGTCGCCAAAGTGGAATGAACAGCCAACTTATCCAGCATATGTTTTACACAGCGGATGCCTTTCCATCTGCAACCCAGCACTGGGAAACCCCCATTCACACACACCTACACTACGGCCAATTTAGCTTATTCAATTCACCTATAGCGCATGTCTTTGGACTCGGGGGAACACCCGGACGAAACCCAGAATATCCACCCAGAATATCTACACACAAATGCCAACGGAATCAGCCGGGACTCGAACGTCTTTCAACTGTTCATAATTCTATTGTGCGCCAGACGCCGGTCAATATGGAAATAGAGTCAACAGAACAAACGGAAGACGTCACGTGATTTAAAGCCGCATCTTTGTTGCCATAGTATTGTGGATGGCGGGCAGCGATTGGCCGATGTCACATCTTCGTCAGCCAGTCACGATGCGCGCTTTTTACAAACTACTCCGGAAGTCAACATGTTAGTATTGCTTTGGCGAGCGTTTTCCCTGGGCCTGTGGAGGGAGAGACGCTTGAGCTAGAAAGTCCTGTAGCTTGAAAACAACATTAAATAAGCTACAGTTATTGCTTCATTTCGGGTCTCCTGGTATGTATGTATGTGTTGTAAATTTGTTCGCCTCGCGACTTGGAGCATGGAGCTATGTGTTCAGAGCCTATGCTGTTACTGGTGTTGTTATTACTCTGTTTTTTGATTGAGCGGAATTTGTTTCAGCATTTTATGACTACTCACTATAGTCGTTTTTAACAGACACTGAACCACTTTCGAGATGTCGTCCTCGAACCCTCTGCGAGCCCAGAACAGAAGCCAGCAGGATCAGACAGGGTGAGTGTGCATCAGGCTGCTCCATCCACAAACAGCAGTGCAATTATTTGTTACTATTGAAATGTATCTTAAAATAAATACCTCCTTTTTAGTTGCATGAAAACAAAAACTACAAAATACAGCAGCCACAAATGTATCAAAATAAAATACTGTATTTTTCTATTTTAAGAATGCTACAAAATACTTTTACAAGTAAGCATGAACCTTTATTACAAACCTTACATCAATAGGCCTATTCGATCAATCCCTTTAGTAGTAAATGTGAAGTAAATCATATTTGATAGCAACAGCTTTTCTCTGAGTACGTTTTAGCAGATTCTCTGCCACCTCGTTCACCTCTATTGGTGTACATGAGTAGATATCTATGCATATTTTACTCGTCTCTTTTTTTATTTATTTAGTTTTTTTTTTTTGTACAAAATTCATGCAAAAAGCATACAGAAAGCCCTGTTCAATGCAGATAATGAGTTTAAATATAGTACTATATCTGTTGATTATGTGTCCATCCATTGTGTGGCCAGTAAAATTGATATAATCCCTGTATAATGTTTATTCAATCTCTTTACATTTTTATATTTTACAAAGGGGATAAATGAAGTGTTTAAGTATTTTTTTTATTTTTTACATTTAAAGATTTACAATGACAAAACTGGTATATGTGTCTCATTTCGTCGTATACAATAAAATGGCCATCTATTATGTAATCACCAATAAAAAAATGTAAAAAAGTCTTTCAAGGTACATTCTTTAAAAACTCCCATAGAGGATTCTAGAAATGCCAGAATTCATCAAATTTTTTATGCAAATCATAAGTCAGTTTTTCTAAGGGTAAGAAAATGACAATCTGCTTAATCTACATATTGACCGAAGGAATGTTAGGTGAGGACCACAGCAAAAGAATACATTTTCTTGCTAGATATGTACTAAAGTGTAACACAGATTCTAGTCCATGACTAAGGTGTAGAGCAGTCTTACAATTCAAAAGATAAACAGGTGGAGATTCAATTTAATTCAATTCACCTATATTTGTATAGCGCTTTTACAATGTAGATTGTGTCAAAGCAACTTCATAGAATATTATAGTAAATTGAAACCATGTCAGTCCAGTTTTCAGAGTTTAAGTTCAGTTCAGTTTAGCTCAGTTCAGTGTGGTTTAATATTCAATACTGAGAGTCCAAACACTGAGGAGCAAATCCAAAGATGCTCAGCAGTACGGGTCCCTATCCAAAAGGTTTACTTATAATCTTCTGAACTAATTTGTGTATTTCTTTCCAGGATGTCCTAATCATGTCACAGTCACAGAATACTTGCATCACAGTACCAACATTGAATTTGCACTTAAAACAACATTGAGAAACATTAGGAAATACCTTATTTAGACAAACTGGTGTTAAATAAGTTTAGTAAAAGAAATAAAATTTTTGGTCATGGTTTGAAATCGTGGCACCTTTGAGAAATATGCCAGAACAGACCGAAAACCCTTCTTCTTCATTAAGATATGTTCCACAGTCTTGAAGCTTTTAATTTTTTTAATATTTTTTCCACAGGATTTTTCATACGGCAATTTTTTTTTTGTAATCGAACTCTTCAATAGGCCTGCTTAATGTAATACATGATTTCAGAAAACTAAAAAACTCCAGTTTTAGTAATTTCCTTATGTAATTTCCATATTATTTCTTCAAAGCACAACTTAAAAACATGATATCTCAAAATAACTAAAAATGGAGTTATCAATTTTTGCAAATAAACTCTTCAAATATATCCTGCTGGTGCCATATAACCCGGGTCAGGTGTTTTTGACTAACCTATATAGACTAAATTGCTGTATTATTAAATATAAGTGTTCCATATATTGTCCCACTTTGACATCTTTAGTCAGACATCTTTTCTCTTCATTATATACTGCTTGAAATTTAAACACCCTGTGAAGTATTGTAGGGATCGCCATGATGTGATGCATAATTTTCTTATGTAACACTATAAATACATTTTCTGTTCTAATTTCAATTCTAGGCAAATAACTGAGAAAGCACCAATCAGATGCCACATTTTTATGATGTCATCATGTAGACTTCTTATTAAATTATTTTAAAAATACAAGGCACTAAAGTATTTTTATACTAAATATTAATCCATTATCATAAACCCCTGAAAATACTATTTTGTATTTGAAATGCGTATTTTAAATGCATGTATCAGAAATACTGCCCATCCCTGGTTACAGTCTCATCTTTGTACTTGATTAAGATTATTTATTTCTCAGAGACTGTTTTGAATAACAATGATGTTATTATAAAATAAGAAGATATTCTGAAATATTTCACCATGACAATGATGTAGTTTATCAGTTATATTTGTGATAGGGACAGTTCACCATAAATGAAAATGTCCTCTTCTTCAGGTGATTGTAAACTTCTTTTTTCATCTGTTAAACACAAAATAAGATTTTCTGAAGAAAGTTGGAAAAAAGCAATAAGAATAGTAAAATGAAAATACTATTGCAGTCAATGGCAATTTTTTTTCCCAAAATTCTTCAGTATACCTTTCTTTGTGTTTAACAGAAGAAGTGGAGGGTGAGTAGAACTTTATTTTGGGGTAAAATATCCCTTTAAACTTCAGGGTTCAAATTCTCTGAATGTCCTCAGAATCTGTGTAAACACTATATTTAAGGCAAGATATTTTTTAAATCAGCAATTTAAAATCAGTTATCTGCTTACTATCACAGTTTTGATTAATATTTAAAAATCTTTAAAATGTTAAAAAAAAATTTAAAAGCTTTAAATGTGAATTTTTATTGTTCATTTCATTGATGGCACTTTGAAATGCAAAGCAAAATTAATTCTCGTAGCTCCTGAAAATATACTGTGGTAATTATGAAGCTAAAAATCTTGTGCAAGAAACTGAACTCTGAAACTGACACATGAACATGCTCAGCAGTACGGCTGTGGATTAAAGGTAATAATGCTGTAAGTAGTTTTTAGTTCAGTCCCTTAAAATTCTGGTTGCCAATGACTTGACTTTAAGGACCATTGTGTCTTCTAAAATATTTTACTGAGAAAAATAAGTCACTTATGTCCTGGATGGCCTACCAGGAAAATTATAAAAATTAAAAAGAAGATACATTTTACCTGTTGGGCACTGTAATATTATTTCAGAGTCAGTGATGCAAATTTACCCCCAAATTCTCATTGCTGTAACGGATATGGTATTGTCTTTCTTATTGTTTAAATTTATAATTAATTTAGTTAATTTGCTTTGATAAGCATATTTTTGTTTGAAATTGATTTATTCATTCATTTATTTTTTTTCGGCTTAGTCCCTTTTTTAATCTTATCCAGCACATGTTTTGCGCAGCCCTTCCAGCTGCAACAAATCAATAGAAAACATCCATTACACACTCAATCACACATACACTATGGACAATTTAGCTTACCCAATTTACCTATATAGCATTTCTTTGGACTTGTGGGGTAAACTGGAGGAACCCATGTGAAGTCGCAAACATGGGTAGAACATGCAAACTCTACACAGAAAAGCCAGCTGACCCAGCCGAGGCTCAAACCTGTGGCCTTGCTGTAAGGCGATCGTGCTACTCACTTAGCAACCATGATGCCCTTTTTGATTTAAATAATCAGTCTAACTAAATATATCAACTTTAACTCTCTCATTTACAGTGATGCTATTGTATTGATTTGTATCATCTATTATTTTCCATGTCATTAGGATGTTGAAGAGTCAGGATTTGAGGACTAAACCGAGTGCTTCCTCCACGAAAAGAGGATCTGAGAATCTGGATCCCAGTGCTTCTGCTGAAGCTGGAAAGGTTGTCAGTAAACTAAAAGGTGTCAGCAGACTTCCTGTCCTCGCAAAGTCTCTGCAACCAGCTCTAAGTGAACTTTCTCAAAATCCCAATCATAACAAATGGGAACAGAGGCCTCTTGCGGTAAGCACAAACTTTTCTGATCTTTACATAAATTTATTTTATGTAAAGATTTTATGTAAAAATGTACTATAGTATTATAGTATTTAGGGATTTAACTTGTGTTAAAGAGCCCCTATTATGCATAAAAAAATGTCATGTTTTGGGGTCTCCAACAACAAGCTGGCTGATATGCCTTCAAGGTCAAAAAACACTGTCATTGTCTTATAATATGCATTTATTTTTACCAAATTATCCCAACAACTCCGATATGATTCGCTCAGCAATTCATTTGTTCCCAAATCCCTTCTTAGCACGATGCTAAACTACACTGACTGGTGCGAAGACCCAGTCTGTTGTGATTGGTCTACTGCGTTAAACATGAGACAGTGATTAATGGCCACCCTGGCTTATCAACAATTTTGAAGTAGTCAGAGTGCATGTGTGAGCCCAATGCAGGAGTGCATCAAAGCAATGCAGTTTAAAACCAGCATATTGCTCTATTCTTAACCATGACACACATTCAGTTTTAATCCACACAGTGGCAAAAGCTGAACTATTTTGATTGACCGCCGCACATGTGTAGGAACAGCTGACGCCGGCCTTAGCTATGACAAACGGCAGAGGATCGCAAGCTCACAAACGCATTTAAATCCCTACACAAAGCGGCACATGCTGCATTTGTTTTTTCAACATGGTTTTAGATGCAATATGAGAATATAAAAAGGTAATCAGTACAAGCGATTACAAGTAACAAAACAATAAATACATAATTTGCAAGCTACAGAAAAGGAGGCTACCGTTTTATTGCACTTACACTTGTGAGATGGAGGAATAATCTGATCCATGAACTGTCTACTGTAAAGTTTCTGTCAAGCTCTGACTAAATCCCATAAACATCAATAGTCTTTTCTGATCCTTCATTTAACAAACGTCTGACTAATCCCTTGTTTTAAGCGTGTAGATTGCTGAAGCACTTGTCAGAAAAATGACAGGAACAGCACAAGGCTGGGGCTATAATGCTGAGTTTATTTTTGCAAAAATAAACTTCTACTACTGACTCTTCACAGCCTCATGTTTGGATAGGGAAAATAACGCTTACTTTCCCTCACACTTCAGAGCACAGTGTCTTTGCAACATGATTCAACCTGGGACTGCTACAATGTTTGTCTTCTACTTTTTCTTTCTTCAGTGTTTGTGGGCGGGGCTGGGGGTTTACATTTTTCCAGGTCTGTGTGCGCAGGAAATAGCTTGAGTTCCGTATCGACATCACGCCGACATGGCTAAAGACCTGTTACAGTGGCAATTCATTCACACCAGTATGAGTCGACTCTTTTATAGATCAATAGTTTTAAACACGGTGCAACATTCAGATTTAAACATTAGCTTGATATTTCACCTCACTTAAAGCTGTTACACACTGCATGGAAGGTCATTTTCAAAAATCCATAATAGGGGCTCTTTAAATGTTTTGCTTGTCATTAAAATTGATATTTATGTTAAATAGTGTATATTTATTTGAGATGTGAAAGCTTTAGTACTTAAATTTATTTCAGTTAATTCTAATCTTCTTACATGTTTTAATCCTAACATATCCCAGTGAATATTATTTCGTTTCAGTTACCAAAAAAAAGATTCCTTAAAGTTTAGTTAATCATAACTTTGCCACATATTGCTTACTTTTCCATTCACCCCCAGGGTAAAGCTCAGAAAAAAAAGACCTGCACCAAACCTGTTCCTTTCAATTTGTCCCAATCACGGACACGCATTCAGAAGAGCACAGACGTTTCCCAAGGAAAACCACCCTTGATGCCTTCAGCTCGACTCACAACTGCGGAAAAATTGAGGGACTTAAATGCAGGTGCTAAAACTGATACACAGAGCCATAAAACTACCACACCGGGTGTCCTCAGAACTCAGGCAAACAAGTCACCACGACTGCAGTCTTTCAATAATGTGCACTATAAAAACTCCACAGATGGTCACGGATGCTACAATCAAACTGATTTAAGTTCACGCTTAGATTGCATTCATCTTTCACAATCAAAGCATCCTGAACACTCAAGCCATTTATCAAAGGCGTCACTCAGTAAAGTAGATGTTAATTCTGAAAATCAAGCACCAAAGGATAAGCACTGTTTTCAAACTGTTCCGTCAACCGCACAAAGCCATGTAAGCTATAAAGGTGAGTGGCATAACTTCAGATTTTACTTATTGTGTCAATGAAGGAAGTTTTCAAATATATAAACTTAACAACAATTAATGTATGAGTGCAGGATCTTCGCAGAATCTCTCATCAGCTGTGCACAATGTCTTCTCACGTGAGGGATTGAGTGCTGTTGGAGCTCAATGCATGATGCCACGTTTATCTACCTGCCCTTCTGGACCAGGAGCCTCTAATAATTTGGTTAGAAATAATAGAAAAGCTTAGTTTTTTGACCCCCTTATTATGTGTTTATGATGTAATTAGTATGGTAATGTAATAGCAAATTATTTGCTTTAGATAGTTTTTTTTTTATTTTGTTTTGCAAGCTAGCTGGTGCTCATGTATTTTGATCTTTTAGCCTCAAAGAGTTTTGAAGAAGACCCATCATGGCGTTGATGCCACTGCAGGTTAGTTCACCTTTAAAGTGTCCTTGCTTAGCTGTGTTTACAACTGGTATTAAAAGGATGGTAAAACCCAAAAATATAAATAAGCTCACTATTATAGTTATTTAATCACCCTTGTGTGGTTTTTATACTTTTATGAGTTTATTTTTTCTGTTGAACAAAATAAGATGTTTTGAAGAATGCTGGAAGCTGGCATCCATTGACTGCAATAGCTGCCAGCTTCCATCATTTTTCAGAATATCTTCTTTTTTGTCAACAGCAGAAAGAAACTTAAATAGGTTTTGAACAAGTGAAGGGTGAGTGATTGATGACTGAAGTTCTGTTTGTAAAAGCACTTCCACTATTAAGCACATTTTGTTTTTAACATTTTTTTCCAACTGCAGTTTTAGAGTTTTTAGCAAAAATAAATAGTAAAACCTCAATATAATCTAATACCTCCTGTATGCATTTCTCACCATAAAAATGCCCATAGAATGGTGTTAAACAAACACAAACAAACAAACACACATCCACTTTTGACCACTTCCAGAGGTCATGTACACTCACCAGCCACTAAAGTGAACCTTATTTCTAATCAGCCAATCACATGGCAGCAACTCAAGGCATTTAGGCAGGTAGACATGGTCAAGATGATCTGCTGCAGCTCAATTCAAGCATTAGAATGAGGAAGAAAAGTGATTTAAGTGACTTTAAATGTGGCATGGTTGTTGGTGCCAGACAGGCTGGTCTATGTATTTCAGGACTGGCCACTGCTGACCACTGTGTTTTCACACAGAATCATCTTTAGAGTTTACAGAGAATGGTCTGAAAAAGAGAAAATATCTAGTGAGCGGCAGTTCTGTGGGCGCAAATGCCTTGCAGAAGACCACACCGGGTGCCACTCCTGTCAAATAAGAACAGGAAACTGATATTATTCGCACAGCCTCACCAAAATTTGACATTAGAAGACTGGAAAAACGTTGCCTGGTCTGATGAGTCTTGATTTCTGTTGTGACATTCAGATGTAGTGTTAGAATTTAGTGTCAACACCATGAAAGCATGGATCCATCCTGCCTTGTATCAACAGCTCAGGCTGGTGGTGTAATGGTGTGGGGAATACACTTTGGGCTCATTGGTACCAATTGAGCATTGTGTTTTTGCCAGCTGAGTTTGAAAGATCATACATACAAAGACGCAAAGAAAGAAACATACATACAACCTCTAGAGTCGAGACCTTCTCATTAAGTCATGAAAGTTGTTGAAAGTGGACAAATGTGTGCGTGGATTAAAAGACCAGATTTAATATAAATGTAATTCTAATCTGATTATGTACTTATGAGTATCTAGTATCTACTTATGAGTGTGATTTGATCAACCAAAAACACATTTTGATACCAAGTGTAAACAAGGCCCTGCTGCTCTTACTGTTCAAAGAGGTTAAGCTTTTTCTTTCTCCTTATCAAGACAAGGCTGGGCTGTTTTCCCCTGACCCATCAGCACTGCGTAGTATTCTACAGAGTGATGGAACTAGACTGGCGGAGCACACTGGAGCAACACCCAGAGTATCTACTTGTCCCACTGGCAGAGGAACCTCCATTTATTCTGTAAGTCCACTCCATAAACATCCATTCACACATTATGAAGTATTATGTCTAAATTCAAGCAGAATAAGTGTGCGTTCACACTCGGCAGATTTTATTCTAATAAAATTTATTCTCGTCCACTTGCTCTCTTAGTGCCGTACATTTGATGGGTGTATATATTCTCTTTTATCCTAAATAGTTTGCGCAGCTTTCAAGTTGCCGTATACAGACAGACAACTGGGGCTTGTGCACGTGGACATTGTGTGCAGACATCCACAAGTAATTAATAATCTCAGAGACATGAAATTCAAAATGTTTTACTTAAAGGTGCAGCAGGTGTTTGTCTTCAGAAACATTTTTTGTTGTGATGGTTGAACGTTTCTTCACATTCCAATAGTAATGATTTAAGTAATTGATCTACGTGTATTTATATATATTTTTATTTTCTGGGTAAGGCATAAGACAAAAAAATGTTTGTCCAATTAAAAAACGTTGAGCCAATAATACTCATAATTCTGATAAGTAGCTCAAACTGTCCAACAGTAAATTTAGATTTAGATTTGCACCTCTTGTTCACGCAGATCTGCTGTTAGAGCGTGTACACACACTGCTCATTCATGTGCAGACAGCGGTAAAAACAAATGCTAAATCAAAACTTTTTCAAATCCTGAATCATTATTAGAGTTAGTTTTGCACACTAGAGAAAGGATGACACCATGGCTGAAGTATTTCTGTTAGACAGGTAATGTTATGTTTAAACTATTTTAGTCATGCAGAGCTAATGTAGATTGTGTTGTTTTTCAAATAGGTTTGCATGAACCGGAAGCTGCGATCATTTTATTTATTTTTTTCTTTTCTATTTTGAAGTAGTTCCTAGAGAAAAGGAATATTAAATGAGAACGCAGTGGACATGTTTTTTTTTTTTCTACTGTGAGCTGATTGAATGTCTTAAAGTAGGCATTTTATTTAGAAAGATCGGTAAATGGGTTTTGGGAGAGTTATTACAATTCAGCCTTCTCACCATTTCTGTTTGTTGCCATTGCAGTGTCAAAACTCACAATACTGACAAACTGACAGTAATCTGCCCGCAGCTAGCTCTCACCAACTCTCACATAATCACCCCCTGAAGCTAAGCAGGGCTGCGCCCAGTAAGTACCTGGATGGGAGACCACATGGGAAAGCTAGGTTGCTGACCGAAGTGGTGTTAGTGAGACCAACCTGTGGTCTGTGTGGGTCCTAACGCCCCATTATATTGATGGGGACTCGATACTGCTCAGTGAGCTCTGTCTTTCGTATGAGACATTAAACCGAAATCCAGACTCTCAATGGTCATTTAAAAAAAATCCCAAAGAAGTAGGGGTCTAACCCCGGCATCCTGGCCAAATTTGCCCTCCTGTCCATCATGATCTCATAAACATCCCCATATCATAATTGGCTTCATCACTTTGTTTACTCTCCACCAATCAGCTGGTGTGCGGTCTGGCGCAATATGGCTGCCGCCGTGTCATCTAGGTGGATGCTGCATACTGGTGGTGGATAAGGAGATTCACCCCAAAAAATTGTAAATTGTTTTGAGTGTCCAGCAAAGCGCTATATAAATATAAGAAATTATTATTATTGTTATTATTAATCTGTGAATTTAATTGAAAATAAATTTGAATTAAAAGTGCCTTTTTTAGATTTCAGGTTTAGATTACAGGGATAAACAATTTAGTTTTTCTTATGTACAGAAACTATTCACCACAAAACTAGCAATGTGAGCTAACAAAAGCAGTATGTTTAGTTTTGGTTTCATGTGTACATTAAATGCCTTGTTCACTTCAGGCTCAAAGAGTGCCGGTAAAGAAGCCTCAAACAGAAGTTTCAGCAGCAGTAAAAGCTCCTGCAGGTTTGTTCCAAATTCCCCTCAAATACATGTATTCTTAATGAACATATTTATAAGTTTAATTTACTTCTGAGCATTATAAATGAAATCTCTTATGGGAATCATTTGATGCGCTCTATATTGTGATGCTGTGTGTGAACTTGATATTATAGAGAAAGTGCAGCAGGTATCAGTCTATCAAAACCATTTAGAATAAAGCAATATCACTCTTTCATTATAGTTCAGTGTTTGTTGTATGTTTGAGCAGCTTTCAGATCACGTATGCTCTTTTTATCCTGATGCAAATGTTAAGCCAGCAATAATGTCTCCCTTTAGGTAGTGCTGTGTCCTTCTCCCCTGACCCCGCAGCACTGCGTAGTATCCTGCTGAATGAAGGTGTGAGGGCTGGAGGAGCAACACCCAGCAGAGTTTCAGTCTGTCCCACCGGCAGAGGAACTTCCATTTATTCGGTAAGTCTGATCAGAGGGATTCAACTTCTAGTCTTGTGCTAAAATAAAGGAGTTTTAAATCATGTAACTTTTTATTCATCTTTTTATCCATCTCAGGCCCAAAGGGTCCCGGTGAAGAAAAATAAACAAGAAGTCATGGTGACGGCAGCAGTATCATCTCAGTGTATGTTTTGCTCTTCAGTGTTTCTTAATAGAATGTTTTCATCCCCTGTAGTGTCACTGTTTCTTTGTTGTGTGCAGGTGCTAATCGAACACCAGTGATGAAATGGACACCGCAGCGAGTTACAAACACTAAACCACAGTCAATGGTGAATGAAATATTTAACTCTATGTTAGTATGTAGTTTTTATGTTAAAGATGTGGTCCACTATGATATATTTTAAACTTTAGTTGCTATGTAATGTAGCTTAGTGAACATAAACAACATCTCTGAATCCAAGACACTCTAAGTTCAATGCAAAGGGAGATATTGGCTTTTACTGAGTTGGCTCAGCAAAGCCTACAGCAAACGAAGTTTGGGGACTACAAAAAAAATACATCCTGGTTAATGATGTCATAAACCCTTCAGGTTACGCACATACGCTCTGCACAGCGAAGGGGGATGACCAGAGGCACTGTAATGTTATAACAGATAGGCTTCCTGGTGATGTGGAGCTGATCTGCGAATCACAGCACATTATGTTAGCTGACCAATCAGAGCCTCTTGAGGGCAGGTCTTCAGAGGAACTAGGAAATATGATAGTCATTTTCATGTTAGCTGAGTTGCTGTATATAATCAAAGTAGGATATATGAAGAAATAATTATCTACAAGTGAAGCATGAGCACACATTGCTTTACACCCCATAAACACAGCCAAGCCTTAAAAATAGACTCTGTACCACCCCTTTAAGCATTGATTATAAATGTCTTTTATATCCTTGATTTTGTTTTTTCTTCTTCTTTTATTTTACTTTGTTTTTTGGATTTTATTTATTTTTGCATCTTTTATTTTTTATTTATTTTGTTGATTTTTTTTGTTTTTTCAGTTTTTTTTCCTAGGTAGCATTTTTGTTTTGTTTTGATGTTGTGAATGTTTTTGTAGTGTTAGGTTAAATTTGTTTAGATTTTTATAAATTTTTTTTTTGCTTGTTTTTCTTTTATTATTATTATTATTATTATTATTTATTTTGGCATATTTGTCAGTTTAGTGTGTTCTGGGTCCCCCAGTTTTTGGGGGTTTCTTTGATCATTTTTTTTTATTTCGTGTATGTGCATGTGTGTGTGTTTGTGTTTATTTGTTTGATTGTTAGTTTGTATACTTCATTGTCCCCTAAAGGGGAATTTTTTGTGGACTCATGAGCATTTTAGTATATTATAATTCTTTTCACTTCATTCAAGGTGCATTGTTCATACAGAGTCTGAGTGCTGGTAAAGGTTTTTAGTCCTAGCAATTCTGAAATTATTGAAAGGTTTTGATTTCAAATTTACAGAAAGATTGCCATAGCCTTTAGATAAACCAAATCTGATAACACTCTCGCAAACTAACTGATACATGGATGCAACATTTTCTAATCAACACCATAAAAACACAATCTACACAAAAAAATAAAGCCTTTTGAGTTTTTCACAGATCCAATTAACATGAGTGTCCCATGAAAGAGACTTATCTATGTGCTCTCCTTTGTACATTTCAATTTGTTTAGAAATAGTTTCTATCGCAAAATTACATTTACTGTTTCTAATTATAGAGAAAGCTCTGCACCACCCAAAAGATGTCCAGTTTAAGGGACTCGCCGGGTTTTCTTGGATCTCACGACCCCAGCCCTGGTACCTTGATGTGCCAAGAGGTAAAACAGGCTCATTGTAATCTTTTACTTGATCTATATTATAAAGATTGCCAGGTTAATATTGACATTTGATTGTCAACAGGGGGAAAAGGTTGTGCAAAGGTTATTTGAAGAGCAAGAGCAGATGGATGATGACCAGACAGACCAAAATGGCATTGCTTCCCAACAGTTGCTGAACAGTCACCAATCTGTATGATTGTAAAGCACAAATGTATGCAATACTAGTCATTTTTTGATGGCTTAGAAGTGACCTCACATCTTCCTTTCTATATGCAGGTTGAAGCCAAATCAACAGTTACAGAAAATTCAGACTCAAATCTTCATCACACTAAGAACGAAGGCAAGAAAACAGCTCAGCCATTCATACAAGCAGCACACAGAGGGTCCGTCATTGTTTTCTCATCAAGCCAAAGACTTGTATCAGAACACTCTCAAGATAGACTAAAGACCCTAGCTGCCAATCTACAACTCTGTGAAGATCGGCCTACATCTCATAATGCAGCCCAAAGCAATGGATCACAGATCAATCCCAGCGTAGACATGACCAAACAAAGCCAATCGAAAGGTGTTCAGAGCCAATGCAGTTTTCAAACATTCCACAAGCTGACATTTTACACCTCCAGAATACTTTTAACCATTTAAATGTGTTTCCACAGCAGCTATAACAAAGTCTAGTGCTGTATCTGCTCTGCGGAGGCGTCAGACTCCTCTGGAGGAGATGTTTTTGGATGAGGAATGTGCTACCTACACCTCTCGCCTGCTGTCCTGCCCGCTGCAGCCCCGCTCTGGAAACCCAGTGGCCTCCACACTTCTGTTTCAAGACTCTACTGTGAGTGATCCTTCTGATTTTTTGTTTGTTTATAAGCCCAAATGCATCTCTGTTGATGTATGTCATCTTCATCCTCTCGACAGTGTTTTTTACCCATTGGCCTGTCCTCTCCTGTACGTCTGAGCCCTGTCCTGTCCAGTGGTTCTATCAGAGCATAAAGCCAGATGTCCCACAACACATTGCACATTGAGTGGCGCCACAATGGCATCTGAATACATTTCCTAAGAGGATTTATATTGGGGTTTTTAAATGATAAGTAAAATAAGGTTCGTGGTTAACACCATTAGATGTTTTGTTTTATAATATAAATTACAAACACACTCTAAACCAAAGCATTTTTGTTTTGTTTACTTACTAGAAACATACTTTAACGAAATATGCATAATGTTTTTGTGTGTTTAATTTGTGTTTTAAAGCAAAATGTTGTATTGCGAAGCATGTTTACCACAGTTATTTTACGGATAAATTGTTAAAACCTCAGGAAAGTCTCAGTGAACCCCAAAGCAAGTAATTATTTTGGGTTTTGACGTCATTCCTGCCTCCACCTCTTTATTTCTTCAATCAGTCAGTCTTTGTTTAGCCATGCAAGACTGTTTGAAACAGTATTGCTGCTTGCACTTTTGATAAGAAAAGTTGTACAGTTAGATAAACAATCTGTCGTCATTTACAAAAGCAAGGCTTGGATGGATAATTTTCAATGTTGAGCAGACGACAGACTGCAAGTCTGTACATAGAACACTTTTGTTATTTTTACACTGAACTTGTCGCTGACAGGAAACACTGTGTGCTTGTCTATTGTGTAAAGTCTGTAATAAATCTATATATGAACACATATTTTACATTGCTTTTGTGTCATGAATTGGTTCAGTCATTCTTTTATTTTCCTGAAACAATCTGCAATAAGTTTGGAGATGTACTTCATGCAATCAGTTATAGATCTAGGGCAGTGTTTCTCAACCCCTTTCCTGGAGGACCAGCAGCTCTGCACATTTTCCGTGTCTCGTTAAACAAACGTACCTGATTCAGATCATCAGCTCATTAGCAAAGACTGAAAGACCTGTGATGGGTGTGTAAGACAAAGGGGACATCTAAAACATGCAGTGTTGGTGGTCTTCCAGGAACGTGGGTGAGAAACACTGATCTAGAGCATAGGTCTCAAATTCAATTCCTGGAGGGCCACAGCTCTGCACTGTTTTGCTCCAAGCTGATCCAAGTAATCAAGGTGTTTAAGACTTTTTTAGACTATTTAGCAAGAATGAGTTGGAGCTAAACTATGCAGAGCTGCAGCCCTCCAGGAATTGAGTTTAAAGCCATTGATCTAGAGCAGGGGTGGCCAACCCTGTTCCTGGAGAGCCACCTTCTAGCAGATTTCAGTTGCAACCCATATCAAACACACCTGCCTGTAATTATCACATGGTGTTCAGGTCCTAATTAATTGGTTCAGGTGTGTTTGATATGGGTAGCAACTGAAATCTGCAGGAAGGTGGCTCTCCAGGAACAGGGTTGGCCACCCCTGATCTAGAGATTGCTGGGTAAATAGATCAAAAGAAAGGGTTAAAGACATAATACATATTGATGGATATATTTAGAGTCAGAGATCCCATACATTTATAAAAATCCTAAAAAATAATTAACCAGTTTGAAAAATGAGAGAATGGAATTGACATGGATCCATTTCTAATGTTTAAATATGTTTTAAAGCATTTGCTCATTCTCTATTATACTATACTCCTCTCTACCCTCTTTATATTTACTTAAAAACTATTTTTTCGAAGTTATTTGATCCTCCAACATTGCCAATCACTTTTCCTAACAATGCATTTCTAGTATTCCTTAATATGACCAAATATGGCTAAATAGCTTACATTGCATCCCACTCATCATAATTGCATTTTTACTATTTAGAATTTAATTATAGAGCTCTGATTAAGTTTTTATTTATAACAATTGCAATTAGAGAGCTCTTTCAGTACTAGTACAATTATGTTTAGAGAACCCTCTAATTCCTACTAGTAAAAATTGTATTAGAAAGCTCTCTAATCAGAATTTTTGCTGGCAATTTAATTACAGAGCTCTCTAATTCATTTGTTACTGGTAAGAATGCAATTACAGAGCTCGCTCTCTCACTCTTACAAAGGTCAGCACTATTCTTTCTATTGACAATTAAATTCAAGAGCTATAAAAGTGGAATTCTTAGTAGCACTCTAAATCGTTTGTTAACGAGAATGCAATTGCAACGAGAACGTCGAATGCATTTGAAGCTAAATTGGCTTGCCATAGTTGTCTCATGTTCGCTGTCGCAGGTGCTTGGAATTATTTAATGAGTGCTCGAGTGTTTGCTGCAAATGTTGACTGGTAAGCGCATAGGCTTCCCGAACATTAATGATTGAAAACTATATTGATACGGCATATAAAATTGGCATTTCCATGGCCAGTTGTTTTCAGTGTCATCCTTTCACATAGTCCCCAAATCAAAAGTGATAGGCAGCTGTTATTTTCTGCAGCAGTTCACGAAACAAGACGTTAATATAAGTGGATGTTTTCTGTTTTACCAACAAAGGTCGAAAGTCCTCAGAATAATTTGTTGTTCTTACCTTCTTAGTGAATATATTTTTACCGAATTGTTTGTTCATTTGTTTCATTCTCAAATTGACAAGTATTTTAGCTAGTAATTGTTTTGAAAGAACTAGGGACTTGGACGAAACGTGGTAATTTTCTCGAATTCAAGCTCTATGTTAAAACAAAAAAAAAGTTGTTATTACTGATTTTGGACAGTCATTTTTTGATAGTACTTATTAACCAGTTCATTAATTCAGCACATTTTAAAATACCTGAAGTTCAACGTCAAAACCTTTAGTGACTTATGTACATACTTTTAATTCAACTCAACCTCTGTTGATAATCATAATGTTCCCTATTAGACTAAAATGAATTAAATTGCCTACATTACTAAAATGACTTTGGACCAATTCTCTGTCTACACAACATGCTCCTCAGCAAAGGTAAGTCTGGCCTTTTTATTTGATGTTAGGTCTCTGCAGACACTGGGCTTGAAGGCCAAATTCTCAGAAGTTTGTTGAGATCTTGTTCAGCACCAATCTGGAGAACAACTCCAACTGCAGTGTTGAACCCACTGAACAAAGTGATTCTCTGCATTATACTGTCCTTTTGCATATTTGTGTCTTTGGTGTCCAGCCTTTTTGGGAGATTTAGAACTACTTGGGTAGCAAAGAATTCAGTTCCAGATTTGGCATATAGCTGGCACAGCCAGGAGGCATTCATTCAGTAATGGCATACAGCATGTGAGCCAAACATGGCCCAAGGCTTGGCAGAAGATTTGGGTCATATGTAAAATGTAGTATTTGGCCCAGATTTTAAAAATTGATATGTGAGCCATGTAAGTTTGGCCTGCGTTGACCCACATGTAAAATACATTAATATATTGCATTATACATAAATATATATATTATTAATTAAAATACATTAATAATTTTTGAGTAAAAAAAAATTCTAGCAATCAGGTCGCTTTGAGAAAAAGCATGCCAGTGTGCTTAAAATGCGTCAATCGTGACACACCAACCTATCTGGCCCAGTTATGAGATATTAACTTGGCTGAGACTTGACTCAGATATGGTTCATGTTTGGCCCCTGTCTGGAACCCAGACTTACTCCAGTCATGTATTGTAATTCGCTGCGGCATGTGGGCCAAGCAAAACCTGATTGTTTGGGCCAGAGAAATTTTGCTATGTGTGTAGTTTTTGAGAGACTTAAATCCGTAACATTGTAAAAATGAAATAAATTCTAGAAGTTATAGATTTAGAATCAGCATTTTCTTTTGCTACAGCTGAAAGGCTCAATTCTTTGACCTTTATCTGCATGACCTGCTGTCAGAGCGCTTTATGTTCTTTAGAACGGCTCACTATCTTGTAAAGTCAGTGAGAACTGGCTATCAGTAAAACAGAGTTTGTCAGAAAATTCAGTAATTGATGCCAGATTAACACCAATAACTGGGAGATATCTGACAGTGTTCTGTTATTTTGATCAATGTTGTTATGTCATTTAAGTTTTTATACTGTGCTTCTGCTTATATTAAGAGTTCTGATGCAAAAACCTCTAGTGCTGCTTGAAATGTTCTTCTAGAATGTGCATTTTCCTAACCTTCTATGTTTTTGTTCAGTTATTTCACATTAAAGGCAGTGAAAATTACACCATTAAAATACTAAGCCTACACACAAGAGTGTGAGAAAAGTGCTTAATTTAGAAGAAATGTTGAAATGGCACCTGGAGGTTATGCATCTGAACTCTTCATATACGTAGCTTTAAAATATTCTTTAAAGTATTCAATTTCTCTCTAATGTATGACCTCCTCTAAATTTAGATACAAAGATAAATGCTTGTAGATCGATACAGTAATCAACATTTAAAGTGGATCAAAAAGTTTTTCAGAATTGCCCTAAGACAATTCTGAAATAGATAGTAATGTCAAGACATTACAGAACTTCGAGATATGCCAAATGTTTTTTTTTATTAAGCAGGCAACCTTTGCTGTGTAATTAGAGTTGCCACATTATATTTAGCTGAGTCGAGAGTGTGACTGCGGTGTCTGTGTTTGTGAAATGAAATCCAGTGGGTGGGCACAAATTGCTGGAGCACTGTACTATTAAACCCTTCCCTCTGCAGCCTTTTGCTCTGAGAGACGCTGCAGCACGTCTTTCATTTGCCTCCTTTTCCAATCCCATCTGCCGCCAAATTCTGGAATACCTGAACCATGGCTAACATAAACACGACTGAGGTGGATCCAACAAAGATGGGGGTCGGACGGGCCATCGCTGTGCTGACGTCAGGTGGTGATGCCCAGGGTAAGCAGATCCGCCTCTTGTTTTGTCCCAGTCTCATTGGAAAATTGGATCACAGTATATGTGGTGCAGCTTTCTGGGTACAGTTGTAATATTTCCTAAGGCTAAAATCTCTGATCCTGTTAAAGTTATTCAAGTTTTAAAGATGCTTTTTTTTTTTAAGTTGTTGTTAAATGTCCCTGGTTTAAATCTATTCCAAGTAATTGTTTAATGCTGTATTGTCACAAAAAGGCTTTTAAATCAAAGAATAATATATACATATATTATTTTCAGTGACTACATTGTACTATATAATGTAAAATGTAATTATTCTAATTAAATGTAATTGATTTAATTGAAATCTAAAATAATTAATAAAATGCCCTGCCATCAACACAATAAAAATTTGATGGAGTAAAATAAAATAAAATGTCCTGACACAAAGAGAGATCTTCCATAGTCTTTTGTTTTTTTCCGCTCTGCTTCATTAAGGTCAATGCTCTTGTAGCCTTTAGCTTTAGCCTGTAGCTCTTGTTCCCTCGTCTTCCCGTTTCCATAATTGACGGCTAAATTTATCTCTGGTGACCTCTTCTGAAATGACATGAGGTTATGGAGAGTAGCAGGCTTTTCCACAGCTGCTCACTGTTTGAAACTAGAGACACTGATTTGCGTTTGTACACAACATAATCTGAACACCTTGAACTTTTAAAGTGTGGAGTTCACAGAATTAAGTTATCTCAGACACTCTTGTTCATATCATTTTATAATCTTATTAAGTAATGAAATGTCATTGTCGTCTCGCTCCGCTTTCTCAGAAGCCCTGTGTGTAGCTTTTGTTTTGGAACAGTCAATGTTATCTTTCTTTGTTGACCCTGAAATATTGTGGTAAGCCTATAATGAGATGGATTTTGGGAGAAATTTGGGAAAAGCAGGTTGTCAAATATTGACAAAATGACAAATCAACTCCAATGAGTCTACAGATAAAAATGAAGAGTCTGTCATAAAACTTGAATTAACATTTGCTTGGCTTTTTTTAGATAAATCTAAATTTTAATCTTTAAAACCAACCATTAGATGAGTTAAAAGACCATTAGAACACTCTTCTGCAAGACTCATGTTGTTTTATTTATTAACCAGTGTTTTTAAGGAAGAGTTGTCTTGTCTACTGCAGGGATGAATGCAGCTGTGAGGGCCACTGTCAGAGTTGGTCTTTACACTGGAGCTAAAGTCTTCTTCGTCCATGAGGTATATTAGAATATCACCATTTATAAATAGTAACAACTGAATCAGACTTTTTAAAGTTGTTAAAGGTATGTTTGTTGACTGTGTGCAGGGCTATCAGGGATTGGTTGATGGAGGGGATCACATCCGTCCTGCTACATGGGAGAGTGTGTCCATGATGCTGCAGCTGGTAAGCTAAAATCTGTTATATCAGTTAACTGCAATAAACTGTACAGAGCACCTATGGGAATTAGGTATATTTAACTGTTTTACAAATGAAAATATGCTAAAAGAAAATATATATTTTTGAAGGAAATATAAATGTTCTTAGTGGAACACAATACTTTTGTCACAAAAAAATCTGTTATTTGCTGGGTTTAGTTTGGTTACTTTATTTATACCCGAAAGTAAATTTGGTTTATAAAGTTTATAAACAAATAAAAAATAAAATGAAATAATAAAAAATAAGTAAATAAAGGGCACTTTAATCACCCCCCTCCCCACACACACACACACACAAATAAAGGTTTAAAACAGTCTATAAAATGTGAAATGTGAAATTTACAAGTCACAGAAATATCTCTGCTTTAATCGTTGCCTTATTTAAATATCTAATGGTTGCTGTTATGAAACTATTTTTGTATCGTTTCGTTCTACAGCTTGATACTAAAAACCTGAGACCAGAAGGAAGGAGCTCAAACTCAGTCCTGGAGGGCCGGTGTCCTACATATTTTAGTTCCAACTCCATTTAAGTACACTGAAACCAGCTAACCAAGCTCTTTCTAGGTATACAAAAATTTCCAGGCAGGTGTGTTGAAGGAAGTTGGAGCTAAACTAGGCAGGACACCGGCCCTCCTGGACCGAGTTTGGACACCCCTGGTGTAGGGGATGAGCACTGTCACTTAAAATTGAATTTGTAATTCTCTTTAGCTGCCTGGTGTACACAACCTCCAGATTGGCTAGACACCCCAGTCAGCTTACTAGACCACTTAACTATTTGATTTAGTGTGTTTTTATTCTTAACAGACAAACAAAACAATGTTTCTCAGTGTCACTTAAGGGGCTGGGACAACAGAAGTGAGGATCCACATGTAGTTTATTAAGAACAGTAGTCAGGTAGTCAACGGTCAAACAGGTAGCAACAAGGAGCAAAAAAGGTCATCCAAAATCTTAGTCAAAAACAGGCAAAAGGTCAGTACAGGCGGCAAAGAATCAAGATAAACAAGGCAAGGAAAACCCTTACGTGATGCTCTTAAACAGACTCATCAATGTGCGCAGTTCATATAGTGTGTGAAATTAGTCTTTGAACAACTCCCAGCTGTATGTGTGTAATCAAAGGAAAATCTGGAACAGGTGTGTGTGGTGCATAACAGGATTTGTAGTTCCTGTGGTGATAGGATTGTAGTCTGTGTGACAGTAAATGAGTTCGAGAGGGGTCTGGCTGCAGACTGGGTTCAGATGTGTTTACCTACACCCCACCTCTAACCCTACCCCTCACAGTGACGTCACTAGCTCCATTGAGTGAGTTGTGTCCGACGTTGCATCTCTGAGCAATGCAGTCTCAGCTTGCATCATAAGGGTTGCATCCAGATACTATTGGAATGTTCCCCAGCGATCTATAAGGGTTAAATCGCAGGTGATCATGACACTCAGGAGGGTGCAATATTTTTATGAGAAAACAAATAAGCACTTTCCCTCTCATACACATTGTTTGCATGGCCTTTTAGACGGCTCTTAGGGTTGACAATTTTTAGTTGTTTAAATTCCTTATCCCCATGCAAAATACATTGAAATATATCAAATGAAATAAACTATGAACTAACAATTGATAAATATTAATTTAACATTGGAAATACCATATTTCTACACTACAATAACCATAGCAGTCATTCTGACAATTCAAATACAACTGTACCACATTGAGTTTTTGTCAAAATTTGAATATCTGTTGTCATTTTATGATGTCATTACTCTAAAAAGACAGTATTTTTTGTATTTTAACCTATAATTATGTACAAATACTAGATCTCACTTTGTCCACAAGTGGGAGAGCAAGAATTTAATTAATGATTAGGGCAGAGATGTCAAACTCAATTCCTGGAGGGCCGCAGTTCTGCACAGTTTAGTTCTAACTCTGCTCCAACACACTTACCTGTAGGTTTTAAACAAACCTGAATGGCTCAATTAGTTTGATCAGGTGTGTTTAATTAGGGTTGGAACTAAACTGTGCAGAGCTGCGGCCCTCCAGGAATTGAGTTTGACATCCCTGGACTAGGGCCAGATAAAATCTGATGACATTTTTGACTATTTCTGCCCATGATTTTGTAAAAAAAATTGCAGATTTATGCAGAATGATTTTAGGAGTATCATAAACTTCATTCATTCATTTTCTTTACAGATTAATAAAGGGACTAACCCTTTATTAATCTGGGGTCGCCACAGTGGAATGAACCACAGACTTATCCAGCATATGTTTTACACAGCGGATGCCCTTCCAGCTGCAACCCATGACTGGGAAAAGTATCATAAACTTAATATATGAAATAAAAAAATAATACCTTTAACTTTAATGTTTGCAATGCAAATCCTTACTTTACAAAATTAATTACTTTACAAACTGTATTGTAAATGAATCATGTGAACATTTTCATATTAGTCAATATTATTACTGAAATGTTTTAAAAAACAATATAAAAATAAATGTACAGTAGCTTTAGTGCTATTCGACCTCTAGCTCAAACATTGCAGCTACAATAGAGTAAAAGCTGCAAAATATTGAGTAATTGTTTAATCATGTCTTCCACTATTATGCTGAAATAAAAAATTATGCTGAAAGAAATATACTCCTTGTGCACAAATTACAACCTCCAAAATTAGTTTTTCTTTGATGTTAAGTTTTCTTTATTTTGTCATGACTGTCTGTCTTCTTTCTGTGCATTTGAAGGGTGGGACAGTAATTGGCAGCGCCCGCTGTAAGGATTTCCAGACCAGAGAAGGGCGTTTAAAGGCTGCATACAATCTTGTCAAATTAGGCATCACTAACCTCTGTGTAATCGGCGGTGATGGCAGTCTGACCGGTGCCAACATATTTCGCACAGAGTGGAGTGACTTGCTGAAAGATCATGTCAGCAAAGGTAAAGAGGATCTGCTTTGCTGAAACATATTAGAGACTGTGAAGAAATAGCCTGTGTTATAATCTCACTTTTAATAGTTTAGAGGTGACCAATCAGCTGTTTTCTGCAAACTTCACACAGAAATTCCAGCTGGACCAGTCGAAACTTAAACCAGCAACTTGGTTGCTGTGAGGCGACAGTGCTAACCACTGAGCCACAGTTTTGCCAATGAGTAAATAAAATAACTAAAGATTAAATCATAATAAAAGCCCCCTTTTAAAAAAAGTCTCTAAAATCTTGCTGACCAAACTTTAGAAAAGATACTCACCTGAAACGTAATATTTTCCGTGCGCACACAGGTAAGATCACCAAGGAAGAGGCCAAAGCTTCATCTCATCTGAATATTGTGGGTATGGTTGGCTCCATAGACAATGACTTTTGTGGAACGGACATGACTATTGGCACAGACTCGGCCCTGCATCGCATCATTGAGGTGGTGGACAGTATCACCACAACAGCACAAAGGTCACAAATATGCACAACGTATCAATCATAGACAATAAGCTTCAGTGTTCTGTAATGTTACTAAATTAGGATTTTAACCTCTGTCCTCGTGCACAGCCACCAACGTGCGTTTATCCTGGAGGTCATGGGCAGACACTGTGGGTAAGAAGTGCTTGTACTTGTTTGCTTTCAAAACAAGAGCATGTATTGGACTCCTTAAGACTCAAAAGTAAAAAAAAATCCAAAGTAAAAAAGTCTCTCTAACACTCCAATAATGTGGTTTTGATTCTAAAATCTTGCTTTTAATTAATTATGCAAGATTGTGTTTCTTGTGAGTCGTTAAATACAACCTTGTGTGTTTTTCAGCTATCTAGCACTGGTTACTGCTCTTGCATGTGGTGCCGACTGGGTGTTTATTCCAGAGATGCCTCCAGATGATGGCTGGGAGGAGCACTTGTGCAGAAGACTAACAGAGGTACAGAAAAATGGGAAAAGATACTGTACATTGTTCAGTGTTAATGAAATACAACACCACAAGTTTGGTAATGTTGTGTAGGAAATCTTTTATGTTCAAGAAGGCTATGTTTCAAGAGTTTCAAGAGCAGGTTTGGCATGCTGTCCCGAGAGAGAACTCGGTAGAGAGAGCTCGGTAATAATTGAGCCCAGGGCTCCCATCTGGTTAATGAGCATGTAAGGGGATCAGGTAGTTCTCAAGAGCGCCCCCTGGTAAAGGAGGAAAAAGGGGAGTAAGGTGAGACGGGCTGTTTATTGTGAGTTTGAAATAATCTGATTTATTAATGATTGGTTTATTAATGATTGCGGATGAGAGACCAGCCACGATCAATCATATCACATGCTCCTTTTGAAATTAGTTTGTGAAAACTATTTCACTTATTAATTTATTCGAAGATAAATTACTTTAATCATACAATTATTCATTAATATTATTATGTATTAATATTATTGTTATTATTATTTATTATTATTATTAATGTTATTGTGTGTGTGTGTGTGTGTGTGTGTGTGTGTGTGTGTGTGTGTGTGTGTGTGTGTGTGTGTGATCGTGATCCTTCAGAAATCCTTGTAATATGCTGATTTGATGTTGAAGCACCATTTATTAATATTATTATTATTATTATCATCAATGTTAAATTCAGTTGCCTCTTAGTGTTTTTTTTTTTTTTTTTTTTTTGATAAATAAAAAAAGTTCAACAGATAGGATTTAAATGTATTTATGGTCAAATTTAAACAATTGTGTTTATCTTTGCAGAATAAACCAACCAATGAATTAATAAATCCTAAACCTTTAAATGTTGTATGTAAATTTACAAGAAAAGAAACTATTTTGAATTGCATATCGAATAATTGTTTTAATTATTAAGCTTTTTGTTTAAATTTTTTAAGTAGTTTTTAAACATGAATAAATCTGAATTTAATACATTTTGTGCTTAGTTAAAAACAAAACAATCAAAAAGGCAAGAAAAATAATTTCACAAATTTTTTGCAATAGTCATTTTCACACAATTTTACCTGATTCTGAATAGAGTTTGTCCAGAAATTAAAACAAATAAAAATAATTCAACTCAATTCATCTTTATTTCTATAGCGCTTTTACAATGTAGATTGTGTCAAACAGCTTAACATAGAAGTTCTAGTAAATTGAAATTCATTCCAGTTTTCAGAGTTGAAGTTTAGTTAGTTCAGTTCAGTGTGGTTTAATTTTTACTGCTGAAAGTCCAAACACTGAAGAGCAAAGTCATTGATGTGCAGCTCCACAAGTCACAAACCAAGAAACAAAACTTCACCAATTGACAAAAGTAAAGGATAAAAAACCTTAAGAGAAACCAGTCAGTCTAGGTGCTGAAGGCTAGAGAATGCTGGATGTCCATTGTGGAGAAGCTTCAGGTGTGAGTAGATCACTGGCGGGTGTTCAAGCTGGCCCACGAGGTCAATGCGAAGACTCGTCTGTCATTGGGGTCTTTCAGAACCTCATGCTCTCCAGTCTTCCATGACCACCACAGCATCTGCTCAGGACACGGCCTGGTCCAGGATTATGGACACCTTGGCATAATTTCTTCACAGATCTTGGATCACATAATGGCTCTGCATAATCTCTAGAGGCCTCGGGATGAGTATTCCCAGGTTGAAATAGAGAAATAATCATGATTCCAGTTTTCCAATTTGATTTCATGCACATTTTGACTGGAAATCAACACAAAACACTGAAAAAAAAAAGTAAATTTTAATATTTTTTTCCTCTCCTCAGACCAGAAATGCAGGTTCTCGTCTCAATGTGATCATCGTGGCTGAGGGAGCCATCAATAAAGAAGGACAACCAATCACCTGTGACCAGCTGAAAGATGTAATTCAACCCTTGCTTAACCACCCATTACCACTATCATTATGCTGTAACTGCTGCCTGTGGGTGCACTTTGATTACATTTATCTGTGGTCATACAGCTGGTGACAAAGAGGCTGGGCTTTGACACTCGTGCCACTATTCTTGGACACGTGCAGAGAGGTGGAACCCCTTCAGCTTTTGACAGAGTGCTAGTGAGTTTGTGACTTTCCACACCATATCATCTGACTCTTTATATGAGTATCTGTATAAGTGTACGTGTGTGTGTTTGCTGTGCATCAGGGCAGTCGGATGGGTGTGGAGGCTGTAATGGCTCTGCTGGAAGCCACTCCAGAGACCCCTGCGTGTGTGGTCAGTCTGACCGGGAACCAGGCTGTTAGACTCCCCCTGATGGAGTGTGTACAAGTGGTGTGTACATACAGTAGTTAAATCATTTAAAGGTGCCGTTGAATTAAAATAATTATTTTAGATGTTAGTTTCAGTATGCTAGTTTTAAGTAGTATGTCTATAAGCTACTCTACTCCAAAACAGTAACAAAATGTATGTTTAGAAAACATAGAACTGATATAAACATCCAAAGCTTGCAGTGCTTGCCTAAATGAATTAATGATTGTTTTCACGTTACCTTAGAATGCAGTTTCTCATCAAATCGTGACCAATCATATTCTCTCTAGTATCTGACATGTCCCATCCCCTTTAAAACACTTCTCATTTGCTTTTCATTTGATGTGTTTGAGCTCAACCACTCTCACTGGTGGAGCTGTGATAAAAACCGAACACTATTGGCTGTTGTTTTAAAAGGGAGGAGCTACTCTATATTCGACCCTCTCTTAATTTTTCAGTTTACATCAAACATTGAATGAAAGTGCATTCTTCACTGGACCTTTAAAGTCTTCGAATCAATATTTAAATAAAGGTCTTAAAAGGTTTAAATGTATTGAAAGATATAAAGCAGCACATTTTGTTATTGCTAGTTCTGACGTGGTGTTTGAAAGTAAGACTTAAGAGGTGTATCTATTTATTTTTTAAATATTATAGTTATATCTGTAGTTGTAGGTGAAATTATTAGGCCTACAGCTAAAATTTAAGTCCTTCAAATCCCCAAAATCTTAAACCCTAAAGAGCTGTTTTACAGAGCAGGGATTTTTTTTATAATATTTCTCATAATAATATTGATATAATAAATGCATAAAGTTTGCCTGGAATAAAAGCAGTCTTTACAGCAGTTTTAAAAAATTTTTAAAGTCAATATTATTAGCCCTCTTAAGATGATCTCAATCTCTCTGTTAAACAGCACTCAGGAAAAATTGGAAAGAGATAAAAAATTTTACAGGAGGGCTAATAATTTTGACTTCAACTCTATATTATACACATGAGGAGTTTAGATGCAAAAACCTCTAAATGCCGTCTGAAATTTTCCTTTTGCAATTTTTCCCTTCCTTTTTCTTTTTAAATCAGGCTCCTGTGTGTATGTTCAGTAATATCACTTATGGCAAAGAATGTCACTATTTTCTTATACTTTAGAGTGAAATATCTCAACACAAACAAAGGAGGCTGAGAAAAATGTTCTTTTTCGTTGGAAATTTCAGACGGCACTTGGAGGTTTTTGCATCGGAACTCTTCAAATACACTGTATACAGCTTGCATATTTTATACACAACAAATAGATCAGATAATTGTAAAAAACGACTGAGGAATTAATATTATATTAGCTCAACCTCAGTAAATAAGTTGTGTTGAATACAAGTGATGTATAATTATCTTTAAAATGAGTTCTTTAATAAAATTGTTTATTTTTTGTTTTTTAAAGCTGTTGATTTGCATGCTTTATTTTCAAGTAAACTTAACTGATTATGTATGGATATACATTTTGTAAATTCTCTATTTCTTTCAAAATACAGACCAAGGATGTCACTATTGCAATGAATGAGGGTCGATTCGATGATGCTGTAAAGCTCAGAGGAAGGTATGTATTGAAACGTCACCTTTTCTTTAATATTTTTATTATACTCTTTATTATTTCTTTTTTGTGTGTCTGTTTTCATGCTAATTGTATTACCCTTCAGTGATACAAAATCAAATGTCTATGTGTAGGAGTTTTGAGAATAACTGGAACACATATAAGCTTTTGGCTCATATTCGCCCCCCAGATAAGAAGGTCAGGAGATTAAAAAATGAGCCTTACTCATCCATTTATTCTCATTTCACATCTATGTAACCTCATTTTTATTATTATGTGTTTTTATGTTTTACACCTTTTTTCCCCCATTAGAGTAACATTAATGTGGCCATCCTGAACGTGGGTGCTCCCTGCGCTGGCATGAACGCAGCTGTGCGTGCAGCTGTTAGGATCGGCATCATCCAAGGCCACAACATGCTGGCGGTCCATGATGGCTTTGAGGGTCTGGCTCAAGCAAAGGTAAACAACAGAAACACAAAAGGATATTAAGAGTTGCAAATTTTGGGATCGGTAAGACTATTTAATTTATTATTTGTATTGGAGTCTCTCGTGCTCACCAAAGCTGGATTTGTTTGATAAAAATACAGAAAAAAAGGTGAATAATATTACAATTGAAAATTAACTATTCAAAATCATTTCATGTTTTAATGTATTTTAAAATGACTCCATTTCTCCAATGTTTAGTTTCACATTATCCTTCATAAATTACTCTAATATACTGATCAGCTGCTAACTTTTTATCATTATCCGATTTGAAAAACAGTTTAAGGGATGGTTAGACCAAAAATGAATCTGTCATCCCCCGTCACCCCCTTGTGTGTTTTTAAGCCTTTATGTGTTTCTTTCTTCTGTTGAACACAAAAGAAGATCCTTTGAAGAATGCTATTTCCTGGGACCCATTGACCACCATTGTAACCTTTTTTCCTATTATAGAAATCAGTGGTTGCCAGCAACCAGCATTCTTTAAAATATCTTCTTTTGTGTTCAACAGAAAAGAAAAAAAATCACAAAGGTTTAAAAAGAAACGAGGGAGAGTAAATGATGATTTAATTTTTATTTTGGGTGACCTATTCCCTAAATATGTATGTAGAATACTACTGTCACTTTTAATCAGTTTGAGCCATTCTTCATTTATAATGATAAGAGTGATTTAACAATAAATAAACAGCATATTTTCATTACTGGGTAAACTTGTTGTGGTACCATTCGAAAGGCAGTCATATTGTTATATTTTATCTAACTATGTTTTCAGATTGAGCCTATCACCTGGAACACTGTTGGAGATTGGACAGGGAAAGGTGGATCTGACTTGGGAACTAAAAGGTACTGATCACTCCTACATTTTCTGTATCATCATTTACACTGCTGTAATAGTGTTTTTCCCCTGTTTATGCAGACTATTGCCTGGAAAATACATGGAGGAGATCAGCCTGAATATTGCCAAGTATAATATTCACGCTCTGGTTATCATCGGTGGTTTTGAGGTGAATTGGTGAAATTATTTTAATGGATAGTTCAACCAAATATAAAAATTCTGTAAACTTTTACTCAGCCTTGTTTGTTCTAAAGTTTTTGTTTTTTTAACACAAAATAAGATATTTTGAAGAATGTTGTAACCTGGCAACACTTGAGAGCATTTGACATTCTTAAAAATATCTTCTACAGAACAGGGTGAGTAAATGATGATTTTTAATTTTTTGGTTGAGCTATCCATTAAATGTCTGTTTTATTATTTCCACATTCTGTTCAGGTAACAATAAAACCACTATCTTTTCTTTTTTTAGGCATTTTCAGGTGGACTGGAAATGGTTCAAGGCAGAGAAAAGTATGAAGAGCTGTGTATTCCTATGGTGATCATTCCTGCTACTGTATCAAACAACGTGCCCGGCTCAGACTTCAGCATTGGAGCAGACACTGCCCTTAATACCATCACCACGGTGAGACATACAACACACACACACTGCCTATTTGAGGGATGCACCACATATGAGTATTATAGGCCAGTTTATTAAATGTCAATTATTTATTATTTATTTATTATAGGCTAAAGTACTAAAATAAGTGATTTTTTTTTTGTTATTATTTAATTAGTGCATGTCATTTTTATTATTGACTAAGTCTTTGAAACATACATTTAAATTTATATTTATGCATTTAGCAAATGCTGTTATGCAAAATTAATATTATTTATACATGATTTAATAACTGATTGAAAATTAAATCAGTTTATGTATTCTCTCTCTCTCTCTCTCTCTCTCTCTCTCTCTCTCTCTCTCTCTCTCTCTCTCTCAATTCAATTTAATTCAATACTTTATTGGCATGACAAATGTTGCCCAAGCATTTATAAAGCATTTATAAGAAATAAAATACATGTATAATAAAAAACACAGTAAATAATAGTAGTATTTAATAAAAAGATGTACTTATATATATTTATTTATATATATATATATATATATATATATATATATATATATATATATATATATATATATATATATATATATATATAATTTTTTTATATATATTTTTTAAATAAATTATATTATTCAATATAATAATATATCTTATATTAATCAATGTATCATATAATTCATATCTATCAATAAAGTTAATAGATCAGACTAATTTATATATATATATATATATATATATATATATATATATATATATATATATATATATATATATATAGTTTTGCTGAGGGATTTATTATGCTTAATAATAGTAATAAAATGCTTATTAATTATTAATTATTAATAATAAATCATTTTAAATAATGTTTTTTTTTGGCTGTTCACATTATTTCTGATTTATAAAGTGATTAAAAAATCGCATTTAAATTTCCAAACCCTGTTGAAAAAAGCCTGTAAAACTTTTCACTCGTACACTACGGCTAATTTAATTCATCCAATTAAAATTCATTCATTCAAATCTTTTTACTGTGCGGTAAACCGGAGCTCACAAGTTTTCTAAAATGAAAATATATGATCATGCTACAAACAGTTCTCTTTTTGTAGCATGAGCATACATTTTCATTTTAGAAATCCCTCGTGAGATCCGGTTTACCCCACAGTCCAAAAACATGTGCCATAGCTGAAATGGATTAATTAAATTAGTCGTGGTGTATGAGTGTGTGTGAATGTGAGGGTGTATGGGTGTTTCCCAGTATGGGGTTGCTGCTGGACGGGCATCTGCGTAAAAACATATGCTGTAATAGTTGGCGGTTCATTCCACTGTGGCAACCTCTGATAAATCAACCCTTAGCCGAAAGAAAATGAATGAATGAATGAATGTGATTAATCAACTGGGAAAATTATTTGACTCTAATTGTCTGTGGTGTCTTATGCATTTTTTCATTATTATTTCAACAACATTCCCACTTAAAAATAAATGTAATACATTGATTACATTCGTATAGAACTTTTCTTGGAACTCAAAGCACAGATTTGTGGGGAAATAATTGTTCTCAATGTAAAGATTAAAGGTTATTGTCTAGTTGGATTTATTCAGAAGTTGATCCCTTCTAGACCTGTGACAGGATCAAGCAGTCGGCAGCAGGAACTAAGCGACGTGTGTTCATCATTGAAACTATGGGAGGATACTGCGGTTACCTGGCCACAATGTCTGGTCTCTCTGCCGGAGCTGATGCTGCTTACATATTCGAGGAGAAATTTGGCATTCGTGACCTAGAGGTAAACTCAGAACAAATATGAATGAGTTCATTGATATTGTTTACAATATATTAAACTGAACAGCTCTTTGATTTTGATGTTCATAGAGAAATGTGGAACATCTTGTTGAGAAGATGAAAACCACTGTTAAGAGAGGCCTAATTCTCAGGTTTGACGTTTAACATTTAATTTAGTTTCATTCATTTTTGAGTTGATAAACTGTATCTGTACAATATTATCAATTGATTAAATAGCACTATTTGGAAATAATTTAGTCACACATTGTTTTAAATTAAATTTGCTATTTAAATCATTAGGGATGACTTTCCTAATTTGCTCCTTATTAATAGCTACAGTGCTCAGCATAATTGAGTACACCCCATTTTGAAATTGAATATTTGTATCCATTTCTCAGTGAATATAGGCAATGTATATTGGTGCATTTGAACAAAACAAGATTTTTAAACAGATTTATTTATTTAAATAATATTTTAGTTACCAAACATATTTAGACATTGAAAAATATTACAATTAAATTCCAGCAAAATATTGCAAAAAAATGACGACCTACAAAATTTCAACAATTTTTTTTTCAATTTTTTTTCCTTCTCTTGATTCCTTCTCTCCTCTTTTTTTAAATTTGTAATTAATATTTTTCTATAACATATAAATTTGGCTGTACTAGTTTTTGGACCATTATTGTAAGTTATTTTGTTAGATTAGCTCCAGATTTGGCCTCAGTACTGTAATGTTTATGCACAAATATAATATTATATTGCATCCTATTAAAAATATTAATTCAAACGATAGATTTGTGAAGGGTGTACAGTATATCCTGAGCACTGTATTAAGGTAGTTTAGGTCTGGGGTTCCCAAACTTTTTAGCTTGCGACCCCCAAAATGACAATGCCAGTGACTCACGGCCCCCAATAGCTACTATAGTAACTTTATAGTATATGGTAACTATAGACGACTTTTTTTTTTTTTCTTCAGTAGGTTATGGACGAAATATGGTAATTCTTACAGTTTAATAAAAATAAATAGATTTTTGGAAATCACCAGGCAACCCCCACGTCATTATGCTGCAACCCCTCGGGGGGTCCCGACCCCCGCTTTGAGAACCCCTGTTTTAGGTATTGGGTTAGGGATGCAGAATAAGATCATGCAGAATATGTAGTTTGTAAGTACTAATAGAAGTACTAGTCAATAACATCCATGCTATCAAGCAGCTAGTTAATAGTGAGAATGGGTCCCTAAAGGGTTACCAAATGTATTCATTTTGATTGATTGGAATGGTCCTGTAGGAGAGTGAATCCTACAGCAAATACAGCAAAGCAAAGATAAAAATGAAATAAGCAGTGCATACTTTGTGATTATACTTTATTAAACTTTCAGTAGATAACATGTCTGAATACTTTAATCTCTCTCAGGCCTTAAAAACATGCAAATTATACAATTTCACTCCAATAAGGTTAAACTCTGCAATAACTCAACAAATCTCAACTTCTGACTTATTATTATCCCAACTCAACATTGCATGTCTATGCGATGTGACTATTGCGAATACATACATTGCGATATATTGTGCTACAGGTACTCTCGCTTGCTCAACCTGTTTGAGTTTCTCTCCTCTGTTGAAGACACACACACACACACGCACACACACACAAATATATATTGTAGAAAGCTGAAAACCTGTAACCATTGACTTCCATGATATTTGATTTTTCTACCATGGATCTCAACGCTTACAAGTTTTAATCTTCTTTTCTGTTCATCAGAAAAAAAACGTGTAAAGGTTTAGAAAACTATCCCTTTAAAAAATTATTTCTATCAAAATCATATTTATCATGAAACTCAAATACGCATTGAAGATGAATTGTCAGAAATGACACCTTTCAATGATATTGTCTTCTAGAAATGAGAACAGCAATTCCAACTACACCACCGATTTCATCTTCAACCTGTATTCAGAGGAAGGGAAAGGTGTTTTTGACTGCCGTAAGAATGTCCTTGGCCATATGCAGCAGGTTAGATGTAATAAAATTGCATGGAATATTGCACATCTTTGTTTTTAAGTGTTTAGTCATATAACCATTTTTTTTGTTTTTTTTCAGGGTGGCACCCCAACACCTTTTGATAGAAACTTTGCTACCAAAATGGGTGCCAAGGCTGTTCTCTGGCTGACAGAAAAACTGAAGGATTGTTATAGACATGGTGAGTAATGCAGTCTGATATTTGCTGTCAGCTCTGGCAATGCTCTGCATGTTCAAGTTGAAATCTCTGCAACTTTCATGTCACTTATGTCAATTACAACAAGCTTGCTTCATACGACCCTAGGTTTCATGTTTTTGCAATTTTGTTCCAGTGTTTGTTTGATCGTTCACCTAATAAATAAACATTCCTATTCCTTCACTATTCCACCACTTGTTCCAGACCTGTTCTACTTCATTTCTTCTGTTGAACATGAGAATATAAAATGAAGAAGTCCTGTAGCCATTGACTTCCATGGATTTTTAATGGCTAGCGGTTTCCATAAGTCCTTAAAATATCTACTTTTGTGTTCAACAGAAGAAAGAAACTCATAAAGGTTTGGAATCTCTTGGGTGTGAGTAAACAATGAGTGAGATTTAATTTTTTTGGGTGAACAATCCCTTTAGGACAGACAGTTTATATGTTTATAGTCAATAGTAGTGGTCTTTATTGAATCAATGTATAAATAGACAGAATTATTTTTACAAATTATAAGTATTACGATCATTATTAATCGAAATTGAAAGCGAAAACTGTGACATGGTGGCTCAGTGGTTAGCATTGTCGCCTCACAGCAAGAAGGGCACTGGGCCAGTTGGCATTTCTGTGTGGAGTCTTCATGTTCTCCCTGTGTTGGGTTTCTTCTGGGTGCTCCGGTTTCCCCCACAGTCCAAAGACATGCGCTATAGGTGAATTGAATAAACTAAATTGGCCGTAGGGAATATTTGTCTAGGGCAAATAGCATTTTAAGGGATCCAACCCACCCTGGCCATAGTCTGCTCACGCTCATGCCATCAGGCAGGCGGTACCAAATCCTGAGGAGCAAATCAGTGTGATTTTGTGATCGTTTTTATCCTGTCATTATGAGACTTTTGATTAAGACCATATTTTAAATACTATTGATAGCTAGTATGTAATTATAAATCTATAAATAGTTAAACTAGCGCAAATTGTCAATATTATCAGTAATATGAGTATCTATTTCAGGGTTGTCCAAACTCTGTCCTGGAGGGTCTGTGTCCTGCATAGTTTAGCTCCAGCTTCCTTCAACACATGTGCCTGGAAGTTTCTAGTATACCTAGAAAGAGCTTATTAAGCAGATGTGTTTAATTGGGGTTGGAACTAAAAAATATGGAGAACACCGGCCCTCCAGGACTGAGGTTTGACACCCCTGTTCTAGTATATCTAATAAGAGCTTGATTAGCTGGTTCAGGTGTGTTTGATTAGGGTTGGAGCTAAACTCTCCTGGACACTGGCCCTCCAGGCACCCTTGATCTATTTATTCCTTTCTGTGATTTTTTTTTATTTTTTTTATTGAGTTATATTTTATATATAACTATATTTTTATTTATTTGTGAAATTGCAAAAGCTTTTTTATTATGTTAGGTTTTTATAGTGTTAGACGTTAACACTGGTGTTGTGTCTGATGTAACGTAATTTTGTTCTGCATTACAATTTATTGTAATGTTTCGAATGACAAAATAAAGGAAACTGGAACTGAACAGTAATGTATGAGAGTGTGTGTTAATGAGTGTGTATTCGTGTTCCCCAGTTCTGGGTTGCAGCTGGAAGGGCATCCGCTATGTAAAACATATGCTGAAGTAGTAGGTGGGTCATTCCGTTGTGGTGACTTATTAAATGGAAACTGAGCCGAATGAATGAATTAATTAATTAATTAATTAATAAAAGTAAAAACAAGTGTAATGTTACAAAACATCAAAATTTTTCAACCGTTTTTAACATCGATAATAGAAAACTGTTCTGAGCACAAAATAAGCAGTTTATAGTAGTTTCTGAAGGATCGTATGACACTGAAGACTGATCTAATGCTACTAAACATTCAGCTTTGCCAATGACAAGTAAAAAATATATATTTTAAATGTCAGATTCTATTAATATTTTACACTATGAATGTTTTCCTATATTTTCCTAATTATTTCCTGTCTGGTTATATATTTATTTGGTGGTAAGCCATACAGTAATGTTTAGTCAATTGCACAATAATCATCATCTAATCATTTTTTCTCTCAATGGTTTTAATATTTATTATTTTGCTACAATGACCAGCTGATCAAACATTCTCTTTAAATACAAATCACAAAAAAAAAATCCTCACTTGACTGTCTTTACAGGGCGAATCTTTGCCAACACCCCAGACTCTGCATGTGTGTTAGGCATGAGGAAGAGAGGACTGGTGTTACAGCCTCTAGCTGAATTGAAAGAAGAGACCGATTTTGAGTAATCATCTTCTTTTATATAACTCTTAAAACATCATGAATTTTGTGACCCATTAATTTATTATGGTTTCACACTCTCATGTCTTTCCCACAGACACCGTATACCAAAGAGCCAGTGGTGGTTAAAGCTGAGGCCTATTATGAAGATCCTGGCCAAGTACAAGATTAATCTGGACACCTCTGAACATGCTCTAATGGAGCACGTTGTCAGCAAGAAGCCTCCGGTGCACATGACCCTCACAAAGTAAATCGGGAGTGTGAATGAGGACAGATGTGACTACACAGAGCAAACACTTCAAGAGAACGATCAGGAATGTAGCTAGTTCTGTTGTGTATTCACCTCTCTGTTGTATTCTTTCATCTTGTTTGTATTTATAGTATTTATGATATTGCAATGTATCCAAAGTAAAATTATCTAATAATTATTAAATTATCTTGGTTGTCTTTGGACACTACTGTATACATGTGAGTTAATTAATAGGATTAGTCTAACAATTGTTTCTGATTTAAAAAATGTCATTTATGTTTCTGAGATTACTTTAATTAATTCATTACATGTATATAGTGTGTTTTCTAGGCCAGGGGTGGGAAACCTTTTTTCTATCAAGGGCCATTTACATTTTGTAACATCGTTTAGGGGCCATACCAAATTATAGGGCTTCTCGATTATGGCAAAAATCTTAATCACGATTATTTTGGTCATAATTGTAATGACGATTATCAGTTTAAGTCAAAATTATTCGCCCTTCTGTGAATTTTGTTTTTTTTTATATATAAATATTTCCCAAATTATGTTTGACAGAGGACTTTTTCACGGTATTACTGTACCTATAATATTTTTTTTCTGGAGAAAGGCTTATTTGTTTTATTTAGGCTAGAATAAAAGCAGGTTTTGATATTTTGAAACATATCTTAAGGTCAATATTAATATTATTAATAATTATTATTATTAGCCCCCTTAAGGAACATATATTTTGATTGGCTGCAGAAGAAACTACTTTTAAACAATGACTTGCCTAATTACATTAATTAAGCCTTTGAATGTCACTTTAAGCTGAATACTAGTATCTTGAAAAATATCTAGTAAAATATAATGTGTTGTCATCATAGCAAAGATAAAAGAAATCGGTTATTAGAAATGAATTATTAAATCTGTTATGATTAAAATGTGTTGAAAAAAAATCTTTCCATTAAGGGGAAAGGGTCGCTAATGATTCAGGAGGGCAAATAAATCTGATTTTATGTATGCAGCTATTTTCCTCCCTTTAAATAAGGGAGATAATTGCAATTGAATAAAAATATGAAACTGCTTTAAGCATCTTCACAGTAAGAAAAAAACTTCAGCTACAAAAGTCCTTCAGTCAAAAGCAGAGAGGGATTTTATCCTTTTTAAATATTCCTGCTGCTGACCGTTTTTATCAATCAAACAGATAATTAATAGAAACATTCAGCAGCAGGAATATTGTATGTTGGCTCTGATATGGTTTCTCTTTCGCATGTCTTTTGATTCTCAACTTGTTTATTACACAAATGAGGGTTAATATGAAGAATCACTAAACACTGTGCTCTGACACAAATGTGCATGTACTTGACCAGTAAAGTGCTCACATTAAGATGGCTTTAGGTGTGTGGGCTCTGCTCGTCTCCGAGGCTAAGTCCTCGCACACACAGAAGCATGCCACTATTAAAAATATGAATGATACACATCCCGTGCTGCAAACGTTACATTACAGCACATGCTTTTAGTCATTTTTCATGTGAAACTGAGCTTTGCAGGACAACGAATGTGTACAATTATCACTTTCTATAACAGAAATGTATTTATTTTTTATTTTTTCCTGAGGGGTGATTTTGAATTGATGGATGGGCCCGGATCAAATGGTCTCGCGGGCAATCAAAGCGCTTTACACTATCAGGAAGTCTCTCTAAAACCCCTACTCTTTTTTTTTTTTCGAAGGTCTTCCTGGGATTTTTTAATGACCACAGAGAGTCAGGACCTCTGTTTAACTTCTCTGTCTTTGTCTTTACTGAGCAGTATAGAATCCTCATCAATATACTGGGGCGTTAGGACCCACAAAAACCTTTGAGTGCCCCCTGCTGGCCTCACTAACACCCCTTCCGGCATCAACCTTTTCCCATGTGGTCTCCCATCTAGGTACTGACCAGGTGCAACCCAGTTTAGCTTTGGTGGGTGACCATGTGAGAGTTGCAGAGAGCTAGCTGCCAACTTTCCATTATAATAACAAAGAAACTGCCCTGTAAAGGTGAAAGAAATTTGTTCATCAGCAGATACCAGTACCAATACCATTTTTGACATGCTATAATATTACAGCTGCATGTTTTTTTTTCAGTATCAGTTTTATTGCCAAGTGTGCTTCACACGAAATTTGTTTTGGCTACAGAATCTTCCAGTGTACATACAGTTACAAATGACAATAAAATAAAATGAAAAAAGACTATAAGCATTAAACAAAGATGCAGTAGTCAAAAATATCTTTGTTGAATTGCATGTACAGATTTGTTATAAATATACAGGTTATACAGTGCTTTGTACAAGTGTTTATGAGAAAGTATTGCATGTTTATTGCACAGTAGGGGAATATTTAACTGTTCATGAGATTGATGGCCTGAGGAAAGAAACTTTTCCTGTGTCTGGCTGTTTTTTTGCTCTGTTGTGCCGACCAGATGGCAATAGTTCAAACAGGAAGTGTGCTGGGTGCAAGGCGTCCAGAGTGATTTTGTGAGCCCTTTTACTCACTCTGGAAGAGTACAGTTATTGAAGTGTAGGAAGGATAGTGCCAGTGATTTGTTCACACAGAAATGTCACTGGTCCAGCTGGGGCTCGAACCAGTGATCTTCTTGCTGTGAGGCGATTTTGCTACCCACTGCGCACTGTGCTGCCACAGTCACAAAATTGCTAACCGAAAATCCTGAAAAAAATTCTGAAAAAAAGATACATATTTTACAAATCAAAATCAGGTGTCACATATTTCAATCTTAACCAAACAGAAATGTTATCCCACAACCTTTTTTTTTTTTTTTTTTGCAGATTTGCATAAATAAAACGTGTTACAATGATACTATGTCTGCATCACAAAAGGTACAAACATTACAATCCATTTTAAATCCATGTCTGGGGAACTGATTACAAGAATAAAAATCTTTAATAATTTAAAACTGAACTTCTTTTGCCTTTGGTAGAAGTGGAAAAGAGAGAAATCTTGTTCGAATTCGAATGTCTTCAGGAAAAAAAACAAGGGGTCTCTGTTCTTAACTTAAGAAGGGAAAAGCTGTGTTTTTACTAACATTCTTAAAGTGCTTTTATTACAGCTCTGCCCTGTAAAATTAATATCAAGAAATAATTAGATTGCCCAACCTTGGTATTACAAAAGAATAACCCAATTACCCTTTGATCAGCTGAACCAAGCCAACGTGAATAGCTTTCAACAAAGACGTATGCAATTTCTGAGTACAAATGATGTGGTACTATTTACAAACAGCTGTATATTTATTCTTCCTCGTTCTGAAATTATAGCTCCCCAGTCCCCACATTTTAAATCATGGATTGATAAGAATTGGTCTGTATTCAATTTTTTATATCGTATTTATTACAATTTATCCAGCTTTAAAAAAAGTTTTTCACCGTATTTTACTAGACCCATTGAGAAGCAGCAAATGCGTAAAATGTGTACAGCTTTTAATAATCATTTTTTTTGGGCAAAGAGCTTTTTTTATTAAAAATGCTTGAACAGTAACAAAGCCAATAGTACTTTTGGGAATTACACAAAGACTGAGATAAAAATCAATTTACATCACAATCTTTCCATCCTCAATAATACAGCAGATTTAAATAAATAAAATAACAAAAATTTACAAAAAATGATAAAGAAAATTAAGTAGCAGGGGAGTTAAAGTTCTCAAAATGTCTTGCTTTTTGACTTTTCATCTCTCTTAATGTCTACAAATATAACACACATTCTTCTTTAAACACCACTAGTCTTGGGGGAATTTTGAAAAATGTACATTTATGAATATAGAATTGTAATAATAACAAATTTATTCATTATATAAGATTTCTTTTTATCCTTAAGTAATTGGCCAAACTTAATAACTTCTCATGACAAGACAAGTCTTACAGATATTTTCTGTTGTATCCAAACTGGTACTTCGTCCCAAAATCTGTGAAACTCATTACATTGGAAAAACAAGTGTTCAGTTGTTTCATGTTGAGTCATCAATAATGAATTTTAACTTTAGAAATTCTCCTGCAGGATAAATGTGATTCATAATTTTATAGTGCACTTCTTTACATTTAGGATTAACAGGATATTTTTCTAATAATTTGTCTCAATGAGACAAAACATAAGCTCTTTTATCAGGTCCTGGGAAACAACACTTTGTTAGACAATCTATTTAGAAACGTTTTATCTAGCCAGATAAACCAAACCTGTAAATATTACTAGCAAATATCATGGTAAAATCTTATTAATCCGAAAAAATAAAAATAAATAATTCAAAACCCATAACTTTTTGTCTGAAGTGAAACAAGAAAACAAAATCGACACTCTCTATCAAATATTTAACGTTAAATTCATTGAATGATAAAACTTCCTAATCTTCTCCCTAATTTAATTTCAGTTCAATTCATCTTTATTTCTAATGCACGTTTACAATGTAGATTGTGTCAAAGCAGCTTCACGTAGAAGATTATAGTAAATTAAACCGTGTCAGTTCAGTTTTTAGAGTTTGAGTTTAGTTTTGATCAGTGTGGTTTAATTTTCACTGCTGAAAATCCAAACACTGAAAAACAAATCCATCGATGCAAAGCTCCACAAGTCCCAAACCATGCAAGCCAGTGGTGAGTGGCGAGAAAAATACAGTGGCGACAAATTGGCGAAAATGAAGGATTAAAAACCTCGAGAGAAACCAGGCTCAGTTGGACACGACCATTTCTCCTTTGGCCAAACGTCTTGTGCAGAGCTGCAGTCTAGGCGCCGGAGGCTGGAGAAAGCTGGACATCCATCGTAGAGAAGCTGCAGGTGGGAGAGGTCACCGACTGGTGTACAGGCTGGCCCTTTAAGATCAATGCAAGGACTCGTCTGTTACTGGGGTCAGTCCCATGCTCTCCACTCCTCCATAACCACCATAGCAGCTGCTCACGATACGGCCTGGTCCAGGATTATGGAAACCTCTGGAATAATAAAAACAGACTAACATATGCACAGATGCTGTTTAAATTATGTATTTTGGGAAGTATTCCCAGCTCCGGTGGCTCTAATGCAAACTAACAATTCTTTACAGCAGGGACGTCAAACTCGGTCCCAGAGGGCCGGTGTCCTGCAAAGTTTAGTTCCAACTCCAATCAGACACACCTGGGTTAGCTAATCAAGCTATTGCTACCCTGCTGAAAAATCCAGCTTAAACCAGCCT